CCCAATTGGCTGAATTTTTCCTCTAATGACAGCTTTCATAATCCTGCCATGGTTATTAGAGCCATTTTCATTTTTGCTTTTGGCTGTTTTATTAAAGATTTATATCATGTAAATTAATGTATAATTTTATGTTCACATTAATCTTAATGTATTTTACTTTTGTGTTTAAAGCACAATATTTTGTTACAGTTACATTCTCTACATTTAAAAGGTTATTATTATTATTATTATTATTATTATTATTATTATTAGACTGTACATTATTACAAGTGTGGTAATATAAGTGTAGTAAGATTTTCATTTCCAAGTCATGGAAAATCTGTATCTGTAAAATGTTGCAAAAATAGACAGAAGATTGGCTGTTTTACCTACATTAACAGTCATGATATCGGTGCTCAAATGTTTAAAAGACAGATAACTGAATCAAATCAAGAAAAAAAACCATTGATTACACTTATGTCACTTTTTGCCGTTTGCCTCTGTGGGGCAACACAAACTCACTGCAGCACTGTAGAAACTTTCCGCCCTCTGGTGTATAAATAAACACACTGCATTGTGTTTCACATGCAGGTATTACACCCACACATGCCGCCCTGTTTTGGTGACTGACCTGTGTGTCCGTAGAGGATCTGGCAGCTGTTTGTGAGCAGCTCAAACACCTTCAGCTGGGAGCTGTTGGTGGCCACCACAATGTGGCTGTCCCCTTTGCCCAGAAACTTCACGTCCAGCACCTCATCACTGTAGCCCACAAACTGTGAGAGGGTGGACAGAGGAAGTAACAGAATGTCCATGAATTTTACATAAATGACAATAAAAGACCTGGATACCTTATAAAATATAATAAGCACTTTGCTAAGCACTTCCTTAACTTACAATTTATATTTAAATACAAGAGTAAAGACATCCAGTAGAGATAACTGTTAAATAATAATCCGGCGAGTAATAAACCAAGGCATGTAATGCCAATACTAATTTCAACTTATAATTGAACCAATTGTCAGTGTATATGTAAAATCCTTTAAAGAAATTATGTAATAATATACTAGCAGATGTTTTGGTCTATACTGGATCTAAACATCTTACACATGTGTATCCTCGGTACCCACCTGCTGCTGTGTGGTGAGACCAGGCAACTGGTAGAGCAGTATGTTGTGTTCTGCTGTGACTGAGGCCAGTCTGGAAGAGGCGGGCAGGTGAAGGAGATATGTAAGACCGCGGGGGTCGTCGTCCTTCTCTTCCTCCTCCCCCTCAGCCTCAGAGACAGTGGTGAGGGTGGAGGGGAGGGTCTGGGTGTAGACACAACGCGACGTGCTGGCCTCCCACACTCTCAATACACCTACAAGGGAAGAAGGGGAGGAGAGGTGAGTGACAGAAGCTCGGAGTGACTTCTGGCCTCAAAATCTAGACTTGTGCACGGCAACACAGATTAGACGTTCGGGACAATTAACGAGGCGAACCCTTGCTGCCAGCTGTGATGAAATGCAAGTCTTTGCTCTTCACTCCGATCTCAGAGAAGTCCTCTTTCTCAGGCAGAAGCACAACACCCTCCACAGCCTGTAGAAATAGACAACACACGCACAAATGAGGCTGTAATCTCCCACCCCCCCACACACGAAAGAGTACAAAAAGATCAGATCTTATCATTCTTTGTTATTCAAATAAGACATTATACCATCTTACCTCATAGACAGGTACAGTTCTCGTGGCTTTCCGGGTCTTCAGGTCCCACACTGTACATATCTGGTCTCTGCCAGAACTGCAAATAAAGATCAGCACACAATTACACACAGCTTTAGAGAAACACCCTAAAACAGCAGTTTGATGTGAGATAACAGCCCATGCGCACCTGACCATGGTGCCACCGTCGGGGCTGAAGCTGAGGGAGGTCACAGCGCTGTAGTGGCTCTGTAGCACACACACACACTGACTGGAGCGCAGGTCCCACAAGCGAATGCCACAGTCCAGAGAGGAGGAGAACAGCTGCAGCCTGTTGATGTCTGGGTGGAACTGGACGAGACTGCAAAGATACAGAAAGGACATTTATTCTGTTACTGAATTTAGTTACGAAATGCAGTATCTTTCGCTTAAACCTATTTTTTTCTGTTTAATGACACTCTGCCACATAAACGAATACATCCATTATTTTTTTATTATTAGAAAAACATTAAGACACCAACTTTAAAAACACTTCAGTATTGTGATATTAGAAAATGTGGCAGATTTAAAAAACATTTTTCGGATAATGCCTAATTGAACCAAATGTTATTTTCTTAGATCACTCATGCCACTCAGCTGGTGAACTAGTTTCAGTAGTTGAATCAAAGCACTCCTGATTTTTTAACTCTGCTATTTCCCCACCTCAATAAAGCTGACTATCCAGGAAATAAGCTGTGTACTCAGTCTCCTGAAATACATCTGTAGGAGACAGTTTCTAAAACTGATAGTTGGCAAGTAATCATGTTTACCTATTCATTTATCAATTATTTTCTGATCAAATCAAAAGGCAAAATAGAAGTATTGACTGTGTTTAGACAACATCTAACTGTGGAAAATGCATTCTTTTGTTAAATGAAAAAATGGTTTTGTAGAAAAACATGTTCATGCATCTTAAAGATACTGGGAAAGTAGGAATGGCACACTAATCATGGATAAAAAGAAAGAAACAACTTCTGTCAATGCATATTATTCAGAGAATTTGTAGTTCTTAGATATCTGAACTCACTGTACAACTCCAGATGACCCTTTAAGGTTGTGGGTGCAGTACTGCTTCACTACATCCCAAAGCTTTATAGTGCCATCACAGCCACCTGTGAGACAACAAGAAAACAAACTTTGCAAACTGTACAGCATCTATGTAGCAGAGACCAGGCAGAAACATGGGACGCAGCTTATTGTCATTAATGATGCATTTGCTGACCTGTCGCCAGGAGTGTAGAGGTGGAGTCAAAGGTCATACTGGCTACAGGAACAGTGTGAATGGCCCTCCAGGAGCGTGTACACTGAGCTTGCCTCCAATCCCACTGCTTCAGCAGCAGAGCTCTACTGGCCGTTACCAGCAGCTGTGGTGTGACACAGAGCAGAGATATACACACAAACTAAATACCGTTTTACAGGCCAATATGATGAATTCACATCATGAAGTTTGACTGAAGCAGTGGCAGGTGGTTCAGGTGTTTGCTTTACCTCGTCATCACAGCTGAGTGCAAAAGACGTGATGTCCTCTTGATCATCCTGCAATATGGACAGACAAGACAGAGAGGTTCTCAGGATGATCAAAGGTACAAAATGCTATCAGAGGATGGGATGCATTTGACATTATCAGATGTCAACAATAAAATGTCATGGATGATGCAATAATATCCAAAACCTATTTTCACTGTGGTGGTTATTGTAAAAGAGCGTAAAAATGCAGGCGTCCAAGTGAAATCATATTTAGAGCTGGGGGAAATCATATTTAGAAACTGACAAGCTCCCAGAGCTATCTGACAAATTGCCTTTTTTACCCAATATCTTCAGCATATTAACATCAAAAGTGATTCAAAACAAAGCAACGCAGCAAATCCTTACATTTTAGAAGCTGGAACCAGAAAAGATTTTACGTTTTGTTTAATAAATCACTAAAATGATTATTAAAATTGTTGCCATATGATTTTCTGTCAATGGACAATCAATTTATCCTTTTAGCTCTAATCATATTACCAACAAACCAATACTATAACTACAGGACTTATCATCAATAAACTTACTCCAAGTCAAAAATTAAAAAAAAGCCTGTGTTTTAAATAGAATGAAAAGCTTGTATATAAACCATACTTTGACCTTCTTTAAAAAACATTTACCTGTGTTGGTTTGTTTATTTATTTTTGGCACAGTATAAAATAAAGGCACAAGTACCCACGCTGGCAGGTAAAAGTCAGCAACACAAGCTCTTTTCTGCTGAGAGTGGTCTCCGAAACAGGGGCTCTGTTGTTGTAAACATTATGGTTGCATGGCTCTGGCCCGCAAAGGTAACCCATTCTGGACTCACATGCTCAACGCTGTGGACGATCTTCCCTGTACTGATCTCCAAAACATTGACACGAGATCCACAAGTGCAAAAGATGTATTTTTCATCTTTGCTGATCTGAAAAACAAACAGACAGAGAGGTTAGAGGGGCGGTCAGACGAGTCTACATATCAACATCAGTTTACTGCTCTTGGTTAGTGCCAATTTTTCATTCTCATTTTAATCTGTCATTCGCAAGTCCCCCACCTTTATGGCAGTGCATTACCGAGTCAAGATCATTTCAGGCAGGTATGTTAACGTTAATCCACACTGATTTAGACAGAAAACACAAACAGGAAAACTCACCTGCACTTTCCCTCCTTTGTAAAACGGTTCTATTTTGCTGGAAACAACGTAGCTGTAATGGGAAAACAGGAATAAGACTGTACGTTTTAGCAACTTTAAATGACACTTTAGCCTAGCTTGCGTTAGCCAGCTATCAAGATTTGCAGCCTGCACGCGCCATGCGTCAAAAACTTACTTTGTTTTGAACTGAAGATTGGCGTTTGCCATCTTGCTCACGAGAAAACCAAAACCTTAATATTTTGGCAGCTATGGTGACATAAATTACTTATTCCTCACTTCACACGTTGGATAAAGTCAACACATCCATCCAGCATGTGGATAACCGAGTCGCACCCATTGTACGTCATGTGGGCGCACTGAGCTGTGATTGGCCAGACCGGTTTGTTCGTGATGCTGTAAAATCCCACTGTCAACATGATTCATTTCTTCTTTTTAAACATGTAAATTCGTAGGGTTTTTTAAAATGAAAATTAAAGTTTATAAGTAAAATGTGTGAATGCCATGTGATCATTACAGTCTCATAATTAACTTTGACTTTTAAATGTTGCCCCCTAGACTCATAACAATAGAGTCAGCTGCAGCTATTCATGTTTAAAAGTTCCCTGTTTGACGCGTGGAGGCTGAAGCTTTGGTGCTAGAACAGCAGGGAAAGGACGGGCTCCATAATGAGCGCCATTATCTCCCTTCGTTTTCATAATTTTCTGTTTTCATTTGTCCGCACACACACAGACACGCGGTCGTGTTCGTGTTTTGTCAGGAATGTTCATGTGTGTTGTACTGATAAGGCGGGTGTGTGTTCCATATGTGACATGTGAGTGGACCGATATGGAGTAAACCAGAGCCGGGAATGGAAACACGGTGAGGACAGGAGATTATCATGGTGAGTAGGCAGGAGCCTCTGTTTATATGTTGTTGTTTTATTTTTTAAATCTAGATTTTATTCTTCCGTTTTGTGGACAATTTAGAAACTATTACACATCCTTAATGTGAGAACAGCTACTTTGCTAATTTCTGTTGTGAGCTCTGAAATTTGCTTTCCCTTATAAACATAGTCTCAAGTTTTAATTTTCAGTCAATATTTGAATTTATCAAAAATGCAATTGAAGAAGTACTACCAAACATCACCTGTTTAGAACCATTTTGTAATTATCTCTTGTTTTGAGTGGGGGGAAAAAACTGTTTTGGCAGAATTACACCTTGTTATCATGCAATCAGTCATATGACTTTCCAGAACAATTCTGTTTTGTCATCTCTTGCCTTTATATTGAAAACACTGTGGACCTGTTGTGGGCAGCGGTAGAGAAAATACTCACCTGTTGGTACATAACGGGTCACAGTCTGTCCAGCTGACGCAACTCTACTCTTTAATGTCATCCTGAAATACATGATCATTATAACCCAATAAAAAGTAGTATTTATGTTGGCCATATCTAGGCGGACCCAGAGGTGTCAACACAGAGTGGGGGCTATGACGTGGAGCTTTTTGTGGACACTCCAGACTACGATTTGATCTGCACCATATGCCAGGGGGTCCTCAGGTGTCCAGTAAGGGCCGCATGCCACCACATCTTCTGTAAGAAATGCATCTTACAGTGGCTGAAGAGGTACTGAACATGGATCAATACCACTGCATAAAAAACATTGTAAAATTGTACTATATTGGATTTTTCGTCATGTCTGGTCCATACAGATGAGCAGGATTAACTGTAATTTATCCTCTGTAGGCAGGAGACTTGCCCCTGCTGCCGGAAGCCTGTTAACCCGAGCTTGATCTTTGTCATGTTCAAGCTGAGCAAATCTATTGGACGCATGAAGATCAAGGTAGTAAATGGAAAAAAGAAGTTGTACATTTGCATAGAAATTTTAGTCATCAGGGTTGAAAGTATTCTCTTATGTACTGTAATTTTGACAACTGTCATTTTAACTGAATGGCTACATTAGTGCTTTGGGAGAAAAAGGAGGACCAAACAAATAAACAAACAAACAACATGGCCTAAAAGAGGGTCCTATAGGTTTTTGCTCTGGGTGTTTATGAATTAGTTTATAGGGTGCATTCATGTGGGGACATTATGGCCCTTTTAATGATGAATATGTGTAATTAAAGGGATGCAACTAATATTATTTTCATTATCAATTAATATGTACATAATTTTTTCAGTTTATCAATCCATCGTTTAGTCTTTATAATGCCAGAAAATGTTAAAAAATGTCCATCACTAGTTCTTCGAGCCCAAGTTGAGGTTTAAAAGTTTCTTGATTTGTCCTACTAACTGACCAAAAAATATAAAACAAAATCTGCAAATCCTCACATTTGAGTTTCAACTAATCATTCGACTAATCTGTTCAGCTCTATGTAACTAATTGTTAATCTAGTCTTGTCTCCAAAAACAGGAATTTAACTGAGCTCTTTTCAACACAAGTAATATCTTGTGGAATGTAACTAAAACATTTACTCAAGTGCTGTACTTATACTATTATTCCACTACAGTTCAGAGGGAAATTTTACTCCACTACAATTATTTGACAGCTTAGTTAGTTGTTACTTTACAAATTCACATTTACATACAAAACACATGTTGAGCTTAAGAAATATGAGTTTAAAAAACAGTTTTTAAATAAGTTAGCACCATCATGGCCATCTACAACAGTAAAATGCTACTTACATATTAATCAGTAAAAATACTCAAATAATAGGCCTCTATATAATAATACCACTTTTACTCTGAATACCACTACTTAGTTGAGAAGTGTTCTCTCTGCATGCTGCAGGCATGTGAACCAAGTCTTTTACAGCTATTGACTTCTTTGTATTTCTCCTCATTTGGCCTCTTACAGTGTAAGAATGAGATCCGTGGTTGTGCAGAGACCTTCCCCCTCTCAGAGCAGTACTGCCACAGCATGAGCTGTCTGTATGAGCTCATCCCCTGTCCGTACCAAGGCTGCCGGGCGCAGCTCCTCCGCAGGGACCTGGAAGTCCACGCACGCCACTGCGAACACTGGCGTCAGCCCTGCCACATGGGCTGCGGGACAATACTCTCCCACCGCACCCAGCCTCAACACAACTGCTATAAGCAGCTGAGGCAGGAGTATGAAGCCAGACAGAGGAACCACAGGGCCATCGCCACCGCCCTGCAGAGGAAGATGAGGAGGATGCAGAGCACCATGGCCCACATGAAGAGGCAGATAGGGCTGATCTGCGAGAGCCTGGAGGTGATGGACGATCTGCACGAGGTAGAAGAGGAGGACCTAGGGGAGAGCAGTGGCAGCTCCGCTGGGACTCCAAGTAGCAACAACAGCAACTGCTGAGGGATGAGTCAGTTACTGCTGCTACTGCTGTGTATAATTTCTGCATGTGTTCATTTCTTTGAAGATGTGTGTTTTTGAATATGCAGGTAGGTATGTGGTTAAAATGAGTGTCTAACACTTTTCTGCTGTAGTTTAAATTATTATGTAAATAAAGCATTTAACGTTACACTGTCAGCCTGATCTGCATTCAAGAAATGAGTGGAGACAAATGAGTATTGACACACTAATGGGTCTGTCAACAAAATATAAATCATGACGTTATAGGCCAGGTTTTATTTTTCAGCGTACAAGGTTCAACATTGTTTATTTGTCATTATACTGCACAAGGTTGCATAATGAAATGAAGTTTGTTGTCCCTTCATGCTAAGCACACAGAATTTAACATATAATTAAGTGCATATTGAAATATGGTAACATATAAAATTAAACACTACAGTTATTTATATAGGCTACATAAACATACACACCCTCAACACCTGTACTTACTATAATGCAAAACGTGGGACTATCAGTGAACATAAAGTAGGCATGTGACTGCATACAGAATAAATACATAAAAGCAATACAATTATAAAATGTATCAGGGACAAAGTCTCCCAACAGAATGGCAGTTTTTCTATTGCAGAGCTTTTTACTGTAAGAGATTTTCTACGGTAATGAGTTGTTTTGTTTTTGTTTTTTTTAATGCTAAAATATTACCATGTTCAACAATATTATCGAAAACAACCACCAACTCGAATTATCCAGGATCTGAAAAGCTGCCGGTAGGGTCACTAGTTAGCAGATTTTCGCTTAGAGGAAATATCGCGATGACAGCCCTACATAAAACCCGGCGGGACTTCACGCGGTTCTTCTTCCTGTTATACAGATCACGTAAGTTGCATCTCTTCTCGTTTGTTCCTATCAAAATCCTTCTTTATCCCGCACATCGTTCTGCCAAACATATTTATTGCACCCACAAACTACAACCTGAGAATGTTATTTAGAAATCCTGCCCATATTTATGGGGACAAGGAGACCGAGTTTGAGATATTTGTAAATATTGAAGGAAAATCCTCAATGTGTAATGGCGGCGATGATCGTTTTCTGTGAGATGAATGAAATGGCCAGACCGAGGCTTGCTAACGTCCGCGCTCTCTTGCTTTAGCAATGAGTTACACATATTAATGTGTGTTTTGTCCTGCAGCAAATGGCGGACGACGCCGGTGGTAGAGGAGGTTTTCGCGGAGGTTTCGGCGATCGTGGCCGCGGTCGGGGCCGTGGACGCGGCAGAGGCCGTGGCAGGGGCCGCGGTGCCAGGGGCGGCAAGTCCGAGGACAAGGAAGTACGTTTCAAACTCAAATGTTTTTAAATGTATTACTAGGTCAAACGAGGTCATTCTTAAAACCACGAGGATTCTTTTGACGGAGTTTTCTGTCTCCTGTTAGTGGGTTCCAGTCACCAAGCTGGGCCGCCTGGTTAAGGACATGAAGATCAAGTCCCTGGAGGAGATCTACCTGTACTCTCTGCCCATCAAGGTAAGTAACGTTAGTTTGTGAGGATGACCATAGTAGCAGGCTGCCAATCAACATATAAAGATGTTCCGATATTTACGGGTGTGAAGGTAGATCTGTTGCTTGCAGGGAGGTACATTAGAGGCTTCGCTACGGTGGTCCTATTAATTTAATAGTTCGGTACTACTTTATGCATTGTTATTTGTGCTTCCTTTATAACTTGAATGTGGTGAAGTTAAGTTACATTCAGCCTGAGTTTTTGAAAAGCCAGGTCTGTACACGTAGTATGTATTTCCAGAACCATTGTTTTATCTGAACATAAATTTAGTTTCACATCCCAAGATGGTGAAAATGACATGACTTTGCTCGTTTTGTTCAACATGAGGATGTTACTAACTAAAGGAACAATTGAATGGACAGATGATACTGAACCAGTTTAAGAAGCGATGCTTAGCTGTTGGAATGTAGTAACACATGCAAGGCACAAACTGGGTTAGGAATGTATAATAGGACTGCATTAATTGCATGCAGAACCCTATGTTGGATGTGGTATTGGGGGTTGTCTCAAAATACCACATCACCAGTCTCTAGTCCGCTGATTTGGTATGGGGGGGGGGGGACCGCACACACGATACAAATTTGTCAAAATGAATGCACTGATGATAACACAAGCAAGTTAAAACTATACACTGGTCGATATTAACACTTCACAGCTGCAGGAGACAATCATGTAATCCTCATTTGTTTGTGCGTTTTTTTTTTTTTTTCCTGCAGGAGTCTGAGATCATCGACTTCTTCCTGGGTTCTGGTCTGAAGGATGAGGTGCTCAAGATCATGCCTGTCCAGAAGCAGACCAGGGCTGGTCAGCGCACCAGGTTCAAGGTGAGATGACATTAACTCTGTAATAAAGGCCTTATTTTATCTGATATTATCCGAAGAGTCTAGATGTGACATCTGGTTTTGTTTACAGGCCTTTGTTGCCATTGGTGACTACAATGGCCATGTTGGTCTGGGAGTGAAATGCTCCAAAGAGGTGGCCACAGCCATCCGTGGGGCCATCATCCTGGCCAAGCTGTCCATTGTCCCCGTCAGGAGAGGTTATTGGGGTAACAAGATCGGCAAGCCCCACACCGTGCCCTGCAAGGTGACCGGTCGCTGCGGCTCGGTCCTGGTGCGTCTCATCCCTGCACCCCGTGGTACTGGCATTGTGTCTGCCCCTGTGCCCAAGAAGCTGCTCATGATGGCCGGTATCGACGACTGCTACACCTCTGCCAGGGGCTGCACCGCCACCCTCGGCAACTTTGGTAAGATTCATCTGATGGTTACGAGTCTTAATCAGTGGTGTATAATTTTTTTTTTCTCCTTGCTCTGCCCAGCTTCACCTCTGCAGTGGTGTAGTTGTCGTTTTCAGGAGAGAAAGAAAGGAGTATTGTAATGCACGGCAGAAAGACCATTTCAATGGTCTTATCTGTTCCCCTTTTCGGTGCTCAACATTTTTTCCAAAGTAGACTTCATCACTGTCATGTTCTTCGAGCGCCATGTCAAGCATCTACTCAGTGTTTCCTTATTTCCACATCAGCCAAGGCCACCTTTGACGCCATCTCCAAGACTTACAGCTACCTGACCCCTGACCTGTGGAAGGAGACTGTCTTCACAAAGTCTCCCTACCAGGTAAAATACACAGCAGACTGACTTGTGGTGGGATTTTTTTTTTTTTTCTCTATTTTTAAACATGAGGTTTGTGTAATAACGTACTTCTCATAATTCTTATTCCAGGAGTTCACTGACCATCTGGCCAAGACTCACACCAGGGTGTCCGTGCAGAGGGGAGCGTCTGTCCAGCCGCCTGCCTCCTAATCATTTTTATATAGACTCGTTGAATAAACGTGCTGAAACACCATGTAAATGTCATGGGTTCATTTTCATATAAGTAGCTCAGGTATACTCTATCCTTAAGGTAAAGAAGTCACTCAGATGGAAAAGGCAATGTAGTTTTCACTCTGAGCACTATCATGTAGTGATGTGTGCAAGGACTTATTGCAGTGTTTTATCAATATTGATGCAGCGATGAATCTGTTTAATGAAACATCAATTGATACCATTACTGATATAATAACCAGAGGACTTTTTTGGGCTAACTTGGCAAATGGAACTGTAACGCAGACAATTCAGATTATGTAGCTGTAACTATCAGTCCTGCTAATTCATTTGTCTGCAGTGGGTTAAACCATCCAGAGATCAAAAGTGAAACAAGTGGCAAAATCTCTTGACAGATGAATTTGTTCTCCCAGTATCTGTTAATCCCTGAGGCTATTTTTTTTATATTTTATTTTTCTCACTTATAAAAGCTGTGGTTCTCCGTGGATTCCAGGTGGTCCGACAAAGGGGATTACATTATTTTCACATTTCATCCATAAGTGATGGAACACTCTTTTTGGTCATGGTTTTCACTTTCTGTACTAAAACATCTAAATCCAGTTTGGCAGCCTAAGAGCATCTTATCAAATGGAGGTCCATGGTCTGTCAGTTTAGGGGTCCTTCATCTGAAAGCTTGAACCACTATGAAAGAACTGTTAAGCCTCAGTATATGGTTGTTAGACTCAAAGAAGTCACTTGAATATAATGTTGCTGCACTGACTTCCAGAGTTGCATATATAACTTGACTAGATAATTTTCTAGCAAGAGCCATCCCTATGTACACACAGATGGGTGTAAGTCACTTCAAGGACTGGTGGAAAGACCAACGGACATAATTTATCACATACATTTTATTTTACATTTATTACACAGGACAGATAATGGTGAACTGTTCTTAACCACTCTGGGACTCAGCAGCCATCATCCGTTCTCTTTGCTTCATTAGACATTTCCTCCCACTGGCGTACGCTCCCAGGTCTCCATCTGGGAAGAGGCAGGCCGTGATTTAGCACATTCAGTGGACAACAAATTTTCATTGTATATAAAATGTCAGAAAAATGCCCATCACTATTCTCCAAAAGCAAATTCTCATTTTCAAATCTGTAACCAACACATTCTTTTCATTTGCCTTTAGTAAGCAATTAATTATCAGAATTATTGCCAAATACATTTTTCAGCACTGCAATGAACAATATTTGCTGTATTTAGTCAGCAGAGCACAGGACACATGCAGGATTCCTGAATGCGTCCACAGTTTCTTTGCTATTACACCACACCACCATGTCCGAGCTCCGCATATTACTTACAGCGTAACTGGAAGTTCTTGGTCACCTCGTTGAACTGCTGGATTTCCTTGGCACAGTTCTGGTGGTAGCTGGCTCCTTCTCTCTGCTGGCAGGCCCTCATACGCTCCTGGACTACCTTCACAATCTCCTGGTCCACTTTGCTGAGGAGTGAAGACAACAACACAGGGTGACACTCATTTCTGAAGGAGAAACTAAAGTTCTGCAGGGAGGCGACAACAACAACAACAGTAACTCCAGAGCTGAAAGTGACACCCAGAGACAGACATGAAAGCATTTAGTTGTCTGAAATCTTGATGATTGAGCTATGGTGCTCCTCTTGACCCCCTCAGTTCCACTTCTCTTTACTTGTTACTACTGCCTTTAATTAAATCAAATGTAAGGCTGTAGATCAACATCATACACTGCACTGTGAGTTTTCCTGTCCGGTTTTATAACCTATTTAACTCTTTCAAATCTATTTTATCCTGTTTTTATGTTGTATTTCACTCTTTAAAAATTATATTTGAATGTTTGTTTTTTTTCAATTTCCCTATGCTGCTTTTATGTTTTATGTAAAGCACTTCGAATTGCCTTGTTGAAATGTGCAATACAAATAGCCTTGCCTTTGCATTGTTTGTGTATCCTGTATCCTATAGGTAAAGTGCACACCACAGACAACACATGGCAGCTGCTACTCCTATTCTCAAATACAATCATTCAAGGTACAACAAGATTTTGACAGAGGGCTAATCCACGAGACAGTGTCCTTTCAATCTCAATTTAAGGTTGTGCTCTAGTGGTGAATGTTGCCCCCCTAAATTGTGATGAATCAAATCACCACAATGTGAACTCGAGCATTTGGGGGCCCTTACAGTCTGTGAGCCCAGGGCATTTTGCACACATTGTACAGTTGTTAACAAAGCCTGTAAGTATGATTTATTTTACTAGGTATATACATATTGTATATACTATGCATATCTATTTCACTAATCATCACCTACTGAGCACATTGGGCACACACATGTCCATGAATAAATCATATCTTGACCCGTGACTTACTAGTCTCTCCTCCACTGCATCTCAGCCTCATAGTAGCAGACATAATCTCCCTCCTGGCACTCAGTCAGGTCAGGAACACGGCGGAACTTCTGGTGGTAGTAGACGGACTTGTTTTTACTCCGAATGCTGTCGACAGCATCTAGATAACAGAGAACAGTTCAGGATCTTGTTAAACCCTGACAGGGCCGTGTGGGTTGTATTGTGATTTGATGTCTATGATTTTGGCTAACGTTAGCTAGCATAGCACCTCGCTCAAGGTGCAGCTAAGTACCCTATGCCAATTACTACCACAAACCAGAGCCTTGTGATTTACTTGGTGTAAGTTAATAATTAGCAAGGAAGCATAACAGTTATACTAGCGTCGTTATAACGTTTAAATATACCAACATCACGTCTACACATCACCCTCTAGTCCTGGTAGCTGTGTTGTTGTGCTAGCCTGTTAGCCTAGTTAGCTCCGTTAGCTTCAGTTACCTCTAAATGTGGTGACAGGCAGGTCCACGGAGTAATAGAAGAGTTTAGATAGAATCAGGGCTGGGTTTGGCAGTGCTGTCTGTTTGTCCACCACCGGAGTCTGCCGAGGAGGCTCCGGGTACGCTCCTTTATCAAAGTCTGAAGGCATTTTGCCTTATGTTTGACCAAAACTAAATTCGACCTCGACAGCTCTCCTTTCGGGTGGCGCTTGCGCAGAAGACACAGCGCAATGGCGAAATAGAGGTCATTAATGCAAAATGTAACCTAGATGCTTTTTACTCTGGTTATTTTAAAATTATCATTCAGTACAAATATTATACCTAACAAGGAACCCAACACAAGCCCAATTACAGTTTTTATAAAACATAAAGGTTGAAGGGTAAAGGTCACAGGTGGAGCTGTTGCACCATGGAAATGCAGCAGGTGGCAGTGCTGATCTGGCAAAATTTAGTGCACAGTCTAAGCCATTGACAATTCAAAATGTTATTGTGTTAGTCATCAAGGAGCATGTAAAATGGCAAATGTGTGTTTATAATATGTATCTTAAGAACCTAAGAATCAGCTTCAAGACTTTGATAAGCAGCACTGACAAATATGTGTGTTTCAGCTGTGAGACAGCAAGTGAACAGTAGGCACATCTGTCTGGCTTGCCCCCTGAAGTACTCTGGAGAAAAACACAGATCAGTCCAAAGCAAGAAAACCTGCTGTCCGATGTAATGTGGGCTGATGTAGGCTGCATATTATAAATGTAAACGACTCTTATTGCTGATAAAATGATGTGTATGTGTTCTGGTTGACTTTAAGAAGGTTTGCCTCCATCTCCATAAAACACAACATGCAACATGGGACAGCCAAGCCAGTGGTGTGAACAACTGGTTGCTGTGTTATAGCTCTTTAAAGAAAGAGAAGATACTGAATCCGTCCTAAAGCAGACCAGGTAGATGTAGGTCTCTTGACAATGAAAACTTTCTTCTAACTTTCTCTCTCCTTTCTTGGTTATGTTGTTCCCATCCACAGGGCCTCCCCACCACCTCAGACCTCTGACTTTACCCTCGTCCCTCCTCCTATCTTTCCCTGTCAGAACTTGGCAGCAGTTGCCTTGTTTGAAAGCGAATACGGCGCCTCAGCAGGGCCAAACACCAAATTAGAGTCCTTAGCCTGTATCATCTTATGTATGACCCTTACATCAGCACTGGTCCCTCTCTCTTTCTATTCCTTGACTGGACAGTGAGCGGACATGGTCAGTGCTCCTCATATTTTTGGTTCTATTCTACTATAAATAACGCATTCATTAGCAGTTTTGTCTGTCTTTGACATGTGTGCATGTGTGTTTATGGTTTATGACTTTGTTTGGCCACCTGAGTTTATTTGAGAAGATCGCGCATATTGAAAAGTTATCTTGTAATGGCTGCCTTTGAGGAGACCACGTGGAATACTGACATGGTAACTTCTTTAATGTGGCATCCCATTGTCGAGTTTTGCTTATTATTTGACCTGTGTTGGATTTTTAAAATTATATTAAATGTTATATAAGATTAGATTAGATTAAACTTTATTGTCATTGTGTACACTACTGACACAGAGCTAATGAAATGCAGTCAACATCAAACCAGGAGTGCTGAAATATAGTCTTTATACAGATAAGTGCAGTTATGCTATATCTTACAATATGTACATTGAAAAATAGTGCAGAAAGTACAAACACATGGTCTGGACAGGAAGGCATCACACCTGAAGATTCAGGAATTTTACTCTATATGTTCTTTTGATGTCTAGATTAATATTATTAAAACTGTTGGATGCCCTTAATATCAGGGGTTTGACTATCTAAATTAAGCCAGAAACACATCAAAAACAGGACAGAGGGGGACATATTAGTACAGGCAGGGGTTAATGTGTCTCTCCTTGACTGATAGATAGTAAAGGTATGCAGACCAAGGAGCAGTGGTGGAAGAAGTATTCAGATCCTTTACTAAAGTAAAATACTAGTAGCCTACCACACTGTGAAAATACACTACCATAAGTAAAAGGCGTGCATTCAAAACCTTACTTAAGCAAAAGTATATAAGAATTAACAGTGCTGTCAGTGTTTAACTATTACATACTGTATATCTAAGGTTTCTGAATTAATGTTGCTGTTGCATTAATGTGTATGATGCATTTTACTGCTGTAGTTGTTTAAGGTTGTAATATGTAAAATGCATATTTCTGTTCACCTTGCCAAGACTTTCGCCATTATTTAAACATCAACATTTAAAAGGGAAATAAGTCTATAGGAGCCGCACTCCTCAGGATTCTTGTCCTTTTTTAACAATAACAGAGAATGAAGCTTCAGTTAAAGGTTGTGGCAGAGTAGCTGTGTCTTTGATTGATTAAACATATATAGTAATAATGGAGCTCACTGACATAAACCCATGTGGGCCTGGTGTTTTGCAATTATTCATTTCCCTGATACTATCATATGTTTTTCCGGGGGTTATTGACTGCTCTAGATTTAAACTTGTTAGTTCATCAACAGTTAGTATTTCTATTTTACTCAAAAATGTATGTTTGAGTTGTTTGGAGATTGTGAACAATGGGTATGTTGTAAATTTATTTGATAGGTCATAAATTTGAGGGATGTATTGCAATGCTGACTGGCTTTTGAGTTGAAGGGCCAGCAGACGGCTGGCTTTGTCACCATATGCAGAGAGTGTTTCTTTTGACTTCCTGCTCTGCCTTCTCTGTGGGCGAAAGATCAAATTGAGTTTGGAGGTTCACTTTTTGTTGGTACAGCTCTGGAGTAAGATTAATCGACTATCAATGTCTGATAATTTATCAATTATGTCTTTGTATCTTTATGTGTTGACTATTATAGTAAGCAGAGATGGGAGACAATTTGGCTTCTTAGAAAAGTTTTTAGGATTTCCCAAAGTGATGAATTTGCCTTGTCTGACTTATTAACAAATATAAAGTCCTCAATTGCTTTTGTTATTGAAATGCAGAATTCCTTGTCAGACAGTAGTGATTTATTTAGTCTCCATTGTGGATTTGCAGCTGATGGAGAATCGAATCGGAAGTCAAGTAATACAGAGGAATGGTTTGATATGACTAGAACAATACACGGATGGCAGTAGGGTATGTCTTTAAAAATGAGAAAGGCATGAGAAAAGGCTCCGGTGTCTGTGTGTTTGTGTGTACAAGTCTCCAGGGAGCACAACTTCCATAGTCTTTCAGAAATGATGTCAATGCTGTGGCCATCTTAGAGAGTGAAGTAACCCTGGAGCTTGAACGATCCAGCTTGGTGTTTATAACACAATTTAGATCTAAGGGGGTTTAAATAATGTATTTATCTTAAGAAGTAGTTCAGTCAGTTTATCAGAAATATTTAAATTAAAAATCAAAAATTTTTAACAATCATTGTAATACATCCAGGTTACATTTCCACAGTAATCGGGAAGTGCCTTAATTTCATGTTGATCAGGAGTGACTCTTGTTTGGCTCATGTCCCTTCCAGTCTCATCGCAAATTCCACGCACCCCGCCATGGACACTTGGGGTTCCTGCCCCACAAGCGAAGCAAGAAGCATAGAGGCAGGGTGCGTACGTGGCCCAAAGATGACCCCAGCCAACCAGTGCACCTCACTGCCTTCCTGGGATACAAGGCGGGCATGACCCACACGTTGAGGGAGGTGCACCGCACTGGCCTCAGTATGTACAGCTGGGCTTACTGCAACATGGCTGCATGGGAGGACTGACGAACAAACAATGTTACATGATGTTAAGAGCTGAATGTTTTAGTAGCTCAATCAAATAAGGCTCATATCCTGTAATTGTGCTATGTGGTGGGGTCAAATTCAGCCTAAGCTTTTGTATATGCTATTATCATCTCTTTTTTGTGCATATTATTGCCTTTCTGTGCTGTATATTGTTTCATAACCATGAAATGCTACACATATCTACTGTTGGTTAAAATGCTATGCTTCATTGAACTTACTGATAAATATTTCAGGTGAATATCTTGGTGAATGTTTTCCATGTTTCTCCCACAGAGCAAGCAAAGAGAGAGGAAATAGAGGCGGTTACCATCATTGAAACTCCTCCGGTCATTGTGGTGGGGGTTGTGGGATATATTCACACCATCCGTGGCTTGCGTTCCCTCAAAACTATCTTTGCTGAGCATCTAAGCGACGAGTGCAAGCGCAGATTTTATAAAAACTGGTGTGTGTGATTTTACACAGTTCCCTTGCATGTACAGCCAACTGACCACACAGTTGTTGCGTTGCTGTCACTGTTGTTTCTCATGTCTAAATTGAGCTTTTCTGTGTTTCAGGTTCAAGAGCAAGAAGAAGGCCTTCACCAAGCACAGTAAGAAGTGGCAGGATGAGACTGGAAAGAGACAGCTGGACAAGGATTTTGCTCAAATGAAGAAATACTGTTCAGTGATCAGGGTTATTGTTCATTCTCAGGTAGGCCAGCCAGTTTACAACTAAATTCAAAATACAATCCAGTTTTAGAAATACAATTGTTGCCTCATACCAAGTCAGTCAGACTCCACTACTCTAATGATTTGAAGCTATTCCCCACATACTGTATCTCCCCCTCTCTTAAGCCCACCCCTGCAAAAGGGCAGAGGTGTCAGAGTGAGCCACCTGACCACATGCAATGGAAAGAAAAGCTGCCACATCCCTGCTGCCAAGAGCTGAACAACTCTGGCCGTGGTGCTCTGTCTGTGGGGAGCACTGGAGGGTGCCGTTTCAAATAGCAGTTTAAAAATAATTTTCCTGGGCAGAACCTGGCTGCTCACCCAGGGTTTGCCAAGAAAAAAACTTTATCTTGGCAGCAAACAATATAAAGATATGCCAAGATCTCAACTCCTAACGGTGTTGCTAGAATCAGTCTTTTTCTGGTCAGGTTTCTGCTTCAAAGGTGGGAATAAGATCAAAATGTGCTTTATATCTAGGATGTGGTATTTGGCTGGTGGTATTACTAAGAGTTCAAACGTGATCTTAAGATCTGAGAATAATAAATCTAATTGTAATAAGGAAGGATATTAGCATATACATTCAAAGCAACAGGCTTTCTGGCTTTTTAGTAATCCAGACTAACTTTCAGTTTACTGGCTTCTCCATTTCCAGATGCGACTGCTGCCCATACACCAGAAAAAGGCCCACATCATGGAGGTGCAGCTCAATGGGGGAAGCATCTCGGACAAGGTGGACTGGGCAAAGGAGCGTCTGGAGCAGGCCGTGCCCATCTCTGCCGTCTTCTACCAAGACGAGATGATTGATGTCATTGGAGTCACAAAGGGTCACGGCTTTAAAGGTTGGAAACATGGAAACATCTGACTAGGCCAAGGTCTTGTAAAATAAATTTACCCGCATATACAGTATAGTTCTTTCTGGCTCTTTGTGGTGATAGGTGTGACAAGTCGCTGGCACACAAAGAAGCTTCCCAGGAAGACTCACAAAGGCCTGAGGAAGGTGGCCTGCATTGGAGCCTGGCATCCGGCACGTGTGTCATACACTATAGCTCGTGCTGGTCAGAAGGGCTATAACCACCGTACTGAGATCAACAAGAAGGTTAGCTGATAGTCAAGAGTCCAACTGCACCCACAAGGCTCAATTTCATCTTTAACTGTTTCTTAGGGAAATAAGCTTTTATTGAATAATCATAGCAAGCAATAATACAAGTATATGTATGTAGGTTTCTCATAATACTGTGTGACCATGCTTGTTGAGGTCTTCATGTCCTCATGTGTCGTCAGATCTACCGTATCGGTAGGGGTGTGCACATACAGGATGGAAAGGTGATCCGGAACAATGCCTCCACTAGCTATGACACCACCCAGAAGACCATTACGCCCCTGGTAAGATTAATATTCTCTAAAAAAAGGAAGAAATGGATTCTCCAATCTAGCAGCTTGCTAATTTCTGGTAAAGCTTTCTACAAACCCATATTTATAACGTTATAACCACACCTGCAAGACATTCTAACATTACATAGGGCATGATACTAAATTATAATGTATTACTGCTGGCATTATGGGTATGATACTATTTTACAAGTTATAGAAGCTGTTCTGGACAGCACGGTACTCTCTTATATTAGGATGCACTTCTTTAAATGATCTTTAAGAGCTTCATAGAAAGTAATATCTTTTATATCCCTACTTCCTTTGTCTTGTCCATGAAGGGAGGCTTCCCTCACTATGGTGAAGTGAAGAATGACTTTGTCATGGTGAAGGGCTGTGTGGTCGGGGCTAAGAAACGTGTTCTCACCCTCAGAAAGGTACAACGGGATTTTGAAAGTCTAATTTTAGATCTTACAGGCAGCTTGCAGCAGTAAGCTGAACTTTTATGACAGATAACACATATAATTTACTCCCAAAGTAAAATGTAAATCTCCTATACTTAATTGCGGGAAACATACATGTTTGTGTACCTCTTTGTGTCCCCCCCAGTCTTTGATCGTGCACACATCTCGCAAGTCCAAGGAAACCATCGAGTTGAAGTACATTGACACCACTTCCAAATTTGGCCATGGCCGCTTCCAGACTGCCCAAGAGAAGAGGGCATTCATGGTGAGTGTGAGAGAAGTTACAATCTGATTATCAGGAAATTCTCCAGTTTAATTTACACAATTCTCCAGTTTAATTTACACAATTCTGAATCCTTCTGCACTATTTTAACAACGACCTCTGGTGTACCTGCAGGGGCCACTGAAGAAGGATGCCAGGAAGACACTGCCTGAGCCTCTAAATGAGGAGGCCTAAAATAAATTCTCACATCTCAATTCTTATGCAATAATAAAACTGAGTTTCAAATACATTCTCTGTTGTTGTTCTATGTACATTAGCTTTTGCTAATTTAGGCTGGTGTTACATATACTATTTGTATGCAGTTTAAGTTAAACAATGAACATAGATTTAAAGTTTTGAACAGGTTTTTATTCATTGATAAATCCATGAGCATATTAATTAAAACTGTTCAGAAATTACATGCACCACATTAGCTTGATTAAACATAATCATCAGATTATCATCCATGTCTTTTCAGTCTCTAGTGTTCAACCTCACAACCCTTAACAGGATCAGTGCATTAGAAAATGGATGGATGGATAGTTTGTTCAGTTGGCATTCTTTTTAAACAGTGGTCATGAACAACATCTTGTTTTGACGTGCTGTAAGCACATCCAGTTTTTCAGTCTTGCATTTTTTATTTATTTTTGTGTGTTAGCATTAAATAAAAAAAGTTGTGTACTCTGTTTTCACTGGTGTCTGGTACAGTTCAGTTATCTTCACAGTAGGGGGCCCTGTAGCACCATTCTCACAGTCCCGAGGTCACTGCCGTGCGTAGCGTGCTTCAGGAGGCATCAATCCTGCTTTGGTTACAGCAAACACATTCAGGATAAACACCAAACAGCAGCCTTATAGATCCATAGAGATTCACAGCAATAGCTGCACAATGGCTGTGTTGCATCAGAATAATCTCATCTGTGGCCTCAAAGGGGCACTACTCTGACATGCACTCCTGGGACTCCATGGAGGACTGGTGGGATGAGGAATGCATTGAGGATTGGTGGGAGGTTGGTGGTTTATCCAGACCAGATGTCATCAGGGGCAGATATAGATCGTCCATATTGGGCATGACAAACACTTTCTGTTGAGATATTGTTGACATTTAATTAGTGAAATGATAGGTTAGGTATCACCGTCTTTAACAATATGGAAAATTCTTCACAGCTTAACTGACCTGGAACTCACACTGCAGTTTCTTCTCGATCCACTCAGTGACATGAGTTAAGGTGACCTCCCTCTCCCCGAGTGTGGGGCGCACATGAAGGTCTAACCTGGGAGGCACACGGAAACTGTACCTGACGGGGCCAGAACGGGGGGAAAATGCTTTGTGAAAAAGAAGCACTTTGACTTTGTGGTATGAAATGACAAAGAGAGAAACTCAGTACCATATCCTGTCAGTAGGGGGAGGTGGGATGTTGATGGCCAGAGTGCCAGAGAGCTCCAGGACCTCAACGCTGAGCATCAGAGGCATGTTGGACACCTCAGCTATCTTCTTCCTGATGTACTCGTTCTCTGTGGCTTTCTGAAAGTACTTGGACTTCGCTATCTTGTCCACAAATCTCAAGATCTTCCTACTCGTGCTGCCACCAGTGTGCCTGAGGGAGGATATGGAAGAGGGCACAAATGCAGTGTAGGATTGTGAATCTGAAAATGACTGGGATTGGGACATGCTATTTCACTAAACAGTATACTGTGAACTGTCTAAACTGGGAGTAAAGTGACTGCCTTCGGTTTACATACTTCGGAAGTTCAAAAACTTACTATTAGATTTTTTATTGCTCCCAAATTAATCAGATTCAAAACCCTTTTTCAGCCGTAGCAGGATAAGCACAGGTAGACGTAATGACCTTAACGCACTCCAACGATTATGGCATTTGTTAAGGCCAAAACGTCAGCCTGTGCATCTCCTGCCATTGTTTGCATTTAACACCATTATTAGTTACATATATTAGTGTTCGCTGCACTAATATGCACTATTGCTGTTACCCTTCAGCTGCAACCACTGTGGTCTTATCTCCCAGAGATGCCTGCGGCTCAGAGAGGGTGACTTCCTCTTCATCAGACGAGCCTGCGCTGGATGACTCTTCATCACTGTCCGCCAGTATACACAGCCTGGGCTTAGAGCTGAAAAACACACCAGTGGTCATACAAACTACAGAGCTTAGACGTCCCATTTCTCCTCAAACATCCTCTCTCTTTATCTATCGACGAATATGAAACTGAGAGGGGCCTCACCCCACTTGCTGTGTCTCTGGAACGCTGTGAACCTCGTCCTCGCCATCTTTACCCAGCTTACACAGGTTCATCTTAGTCTCCAGGGTCATCTGAAGGCAGCCTGTGTACATCAGCTCCAGCTCCAGCCATAGGCCTTAGGGATAAAGAGGGGGAGGGAAAAACAGCTCACAGGTAGCAGGTTATGCTTCAGTTCAAAAAAGCTTTGATCTAAAGCCTGAGTTTGGTTTGGAGACTGAGCCAACACCTCTTCTATATCTGGCCTGGAACAGTGTTGTTGCAGAAGGGACATTAGACCAATAGAGAATGTAGCTCATCCGGAAACCATGTCTGTACCAAATTCTGTGCCAATCCATCGAGTACATGTTAAGATATTTCACAGGATAAGTGATTTTATTGCAGAACCATCCAATAGTTGTTGAGATAATTCAGTCTGGACCAAAGTGTTAGGCCAAAAGACAGACAGACCCACATCCCTAGAGCCACACTGCTTGCATGGCTAATAACCAAAAGAGCAACATATACAGGTGTAAATACACATAAATTGTACCTCTGCAGTCCAGTGTAGGTTTGGAGGTGCTGAGGACTTGAGGTAGACAAGTGCCCATGTTCAGATCCGCCAGAGTCAGCTCATTCATGAAGTATGGCAACTATAATGAGACAGACACCAAACACCTTTAATAATTAGTTAACATGCAGAGTTCATGTCATACACACAAATTTCCAAATTAAATCCATGGAAAACAACACAGAGGCTCCACAGTGGTAGCTAATTACCTCAAACAAATGAGTGTGCAGGGAAAACCTGCAGTGTGTGTGTGTGTGTGTGTGTGTAAAGGAGGAGAGCAGGGAATGAGAAATGAGATGCTCCTCTACTCACTCCCCACCTTCTGCCTTTGGAACCAGAGGGAGTGCCTTATCAGCAGACTCTCAAACACACACACACAGGAAAGAGAGCTGCAGCGTTGATGTGCCCAATGTCACATCTTTTTACCTTGTGTGCAAACCAGCACTGATATTCAGGTCATGTCATCAAGTTTGTGGAGCTCTGCCCTACAGTACTCACTGTTGCCTAGCCATGTCATTAATCAGTATGACACTGATGATGCTGTTGAATATGGTGTGAATATGCAGATGAATGTGAATATGGAAATCATTTTGTCAACCAAGGACTTCAGTTTCCGACTACCCTTGAAAAATAACTCACCATCCTCATCCTCCCTCACCTTTATCTTGCTGAGTTTCTTCTGGATCTTGTGTGCCACCTGATCGCTCCAGTACTTCTCCCGAAGAAAGTCCCAGAAGATCCTTCCCACCAGGGAGTTTACCCAGGTGGGCTGGCCCTCTGCAGAGCATCCCTCTGCACCTGAACCCGCACTGGGTTCAGCTCCTGCAGGACCTCCAGATCCATGCTCTTCATTGTGAATCTGCAGGGATTAACAGAGGAATAGGTCATTGGAAGACACATACAGTATGTTTGCACAAGCATTTTTCCAGAGGTTATATGACCTGATAGAACCAAGGTACAGGATACAAATGTTTGTCATTCCTATGCTAATCTATCCTCAAGCCCCATTTATGCTTACTCTCATCCTGACTCTACATCTACCTCCTCCTCCTAAACATGAGAACAGATTGTCTCTATGTGGGGTGCCAATCCCAAATCACCCAAACAAGGATTAGCAGCTCTGTCAGTTCCTATTATTCTCCTTCCAGCCAGGTGACACCTGATTTTCTTGACATTGACATTTGGTCTCGCCAGCAAGTATGTGTTTGGCTGAGCCAGCATCCTAGAAAAGGCTGGTCTGAGTGTAGGGCCGAACAATGGAACGGTAGTTAATATTGACCAGCTCTGATCAATGGGAGTTAAAACATGCAGATGGTTAAGTAGAGCAGAGACAAAGTTCTGGCATCTGCTCATGACAGAAGCGGATGCTGTAAAAAGTGATGCTAGTTCCAATACTATATCTAAAAGCTAAATAAAAGTGTTGCTCATTGACCTTCTTGTGTGTTGCAGGGCTTCCCCTGTCACTGTGGCAGGGGCTGATGGTGAGATTGCAACTCTGTGAGCCAATCAGTTGAGTCATGTAGGTGCTGTACTCCAATAGCGTTCTTGTTTTTGTAGCTCCCAGCAAGTCGTGCAGCTCCTCTGTGCTTTCTTTAACAGAGTCTCCACCACATGGTGTTTCTGATTGACAGAGAAAAGACAGACATGAAGGAGCTGGTAAATATACCTCAAGGAATGATATGAAATAGTCAAATTCTGCATGAATCTGTCCTGCACTGTGTTTAAAACAAGAAGGTAATGTTTCCAGTCTTCATATTGTATCACCCCAATCCATATCACCACAAATCAGAACACCTTCTTACCTGTATTCTCCTCCCCGCTCACACTGCTCTTGGTTCCAGCCCGAGAGGCAGACAGGAAGTGCTGGAACCACTCCTCCTTCTCTCTTCCTGTGCGGCCAAACAGGTACAGGGTAACAGGAAGCTGGTGATCCAGCACAGTGTGTCTCTCTGCCCGTTCTTCCTCCTCTTGCCCTTCAACCACGCTCTCCTCTCCTACCTCCCCCTCAGCCAGCGTGATGCAAATGGGGTATTTCTTGTTCCATACCCTCTTGCGAGCCAGACCAGGTGGCAGCAGAGACACCTGGGATAAAAATGAACAGAGAGGAAAGATAAAGCAAAAGTGTAATTTTCTTCTAATATAAAGAAATCAATATTTTCTTTCTACAAGAGATGTTGGCATGCAGAAACGGTGTTGACAGTTTAACCATTGTCAAAGCACTCCCGACATTGATTAGGCTGTGTGTTATTCTATCACCCTGTTGCAAGCTACTGTAGCATGCCTCAATATCTGAATGTGACAGTAGCCGGGTCAAGTTTATTAAGAACATCATCACTTCACTCGCAATCCTTCGGTTCTTTCACCTCTGTGTTAGATGACAATGTGGGTGAGGAGAGATGAGAGTTCAGGCAAGAGGTCACCATGCCTCTCTCTTTTGCTCCCCTCTGGGGGACATGCCTGTTCCCTGGGACCCACAGATGAGAATTTCTTCCCCCCGCAAATGCACTGACCTTAGAGTTAGCCAGCTGGTAAGTGTGTGACCGTAAAAACACAGCCTCGTGGGCCGTCTCGTCAAACCCTGCCCAGCGGGGAATGTTGGCACGTGGATATGCCAGGCGCAGCCGGCTGCCCTCCAGCGTGGCATAGACAGAGTGTGTGATGGAGGGGTGGAAAGTTTCAGGGTCGTAGCTGTGTGTCTTATTCATCCAGCCCTGGAAGAAAATTATGAGGGCGTTATATGTAAGTAGCAGTACATCAATCACAAATTCATTCACATTTTCCTGCCAAGTTGGGTTAGGTGCATTTAACTGACTAAGAGTTAATATCACAGAAAATATGCAGCAACACTCTACTCAGGCAAATGACATTCACCATGAGTGGTGCAAACTGCGACAGCTCAGCAGGAGGGGAAACGTGAGACATAGCAGAATAGATTGGTCTCATTTAACACAGTAGAGAGTCTTTGAAATAGCCTCCAGCCTCCTGTTAGTAACTCCTCTATCCCTATACACATCACCTTATTTGAACCAGTTAAATCTGCATTTTTTGAGGGATCCAGCCCCCACCCTCTCAGCAGAGCTGTCAAGAAGTGCTTTGAGAAAGCTATTATCAAAATAACCTGCTTTTAGATGCTGAACCTGCTGTGCCTCATAGCAGTTTTTTAATACAGCAATTACATCAAAACTAATCCATTAAGCATCACTGACAGCACTATCTTTAGTGCCATCCAATTCCTTGCTGTTTTGATCTCTCATCCTGCAAAACAAAAATCAGAGCTTGGACCTCATTTCCATATAGCCAAATTGGTAAAACAGAAAGTACGTAGGAGCAGCTGCTAAAGTTTCTCTGAGCAAGACTAAGAGTCAACAGCGATGGCGCTAAAGCCGTGTGAAGCTGTACAGCAGTGCTTTGAGCTAAATGCTAATGTCGGCATGCTAACATGCTGATGTTTAGCACGTATAATGTTTACCATCATCACTATCTTGCTTTAGCGAGCACAAAGTACAGCAGAGGCTGATAGGAATGTCCCAAAAAACTATGTGAGTTTTGTGGGTATTAGGCCATAAACAAATTGTGGTAAAACCAACGCTGCTAGCATGGCCTAACTCAGCGTGAGAGCCAACATGTTCATTGGTAGATATGTGTAGGTTGCTTTTTTTTAAAGAAGAATTTAAATATTTTTTAAACTAGCGAATAGCTTAGAGACCTGTCCCAACAAATGGTACAGACATACATAAGCAAAAACATAGTAAAGCCATGTAGCAGTGAATTCACACGGCTTTTGAACTGACAGAGAAAATGTTAGACACATTCACTCACGCCCTAAGTCAGACAAAAATCAGTACTGGACCTCTTGCTCTCTGCTACACTTACATTTGTAATTTACTACGAAGAAATGGGAGCGAAGGTTGGGTAAGAGTAGAGGGAGACATAGATGAAATGTCACCATGTCACTTTCATGCTTACGTCTCTCTTTGTTTATATGCTGTATTTTACTCATTTATTACCTCTAGGATTTCTGGATCTGTGAGCTTTCCATCCAGTCGGTCCATGTTCAGGGGTCTGGATTTGCTCAAACGAGAGCCCTTGTTGCTTCTAGCAGATGAACGTTGTGGGGCAAACATGAACACCACAACCAGGCCCAACACAAAGCCACATGCAACCCCCACAGACAGACCTGTCACATAGGAGGGCAGGGGCAACACAAAGAAACCATAAGCTAGAAGACCCACAGGGAAGAGCCAGTGAAGTGGCAGTGATGAACCTGGCACTGTGACTCGAGACTGGGTGGAAGTTCTATGATGTGTCCCACTGGATTCATTCTGGAGCTCCACCACCTGAATCATATCTCCATAAGTGCGGATTTCGAAATGACTATCTCTTGTGTTGGTGTGGCGTTCTGGGGAGACAGAGGATTTTATTAAGGAGCCCTGTTGGAGTCTTCTCAGAGGCGTGTCACACACACTTCTGTGCTCACCATCAGCTCTCCTTCGGCACTTAAGGTCTGTATCTTCACTGCCACAGCTGCCTTGGGAGGCTGGTGAGTCTCCAGCACCAGCCCTGCCCTGCTTGGGGCTGCCAGAGCTTTCGTCCCCCATGATTTTACTCAGCATGCTCAGTGGATCTTGCATGGCCTCAGAGAACTTCCTACGTGTGTCCTCCAGCTCCGCTATCAGCGAGCTGCCCCGGGGTTCAGAGGGAGGCATGCTGCCCATGGAGGGAGGTGATACCCAGTCGTCATCTTCATTAAGTCCTCCTACTTCAGGCTTGGCCTCTAGGATTTTTTGGTGAGTAAGCTGCTTCCATGGATGCAAATGCAGCTTAGAGTCTGACTTGGAGAGGTTGACCTCTGGCTCAACCCGGCGGGAAATCTCTGTGCTCAGCGACTTGACCAGGCTAAGGAGAGGCTTGCCTCGCAGGGAGCTGCTCTCGCTTGGGTCCAGGTCTGTGGAGGAGGATTTGACCAGGTTGGTGGTGACAAGCAGGCCTGCTGATGTTGCTGATAGGTCAGATAAAGAGCCCGGGGATGATGGGGAGTGGGGCAGGAAGGGGGACTGGGAGCGGTAGCCTTGGCTCAGGTCCAAATCCATCCCCAGGCTGACGTTAGACAGACCCTCCCTGGCTTGTGGTTTATCTCTGGAAAAGGCCACGGTTGGACCTTCATCGTGGCGATCCAGGCTGAAGATGAGCTTGCTCTCCTCCATGCCAGTCGTCAACCAGGAGCTACAGTGAGAATGTGGTCAACCAAACAGAGCAGTAGTCCCTAAACACATGGACCATGGCGCTAGCACTACTTGTAACATCCTCCTCGGGTAGCTTGTAGCCCATCATGTTGGATGCTGAAAATTTGGTGAGAAAAAAGCAAAGTATATTAAAATGTGGTTATTTGAACAGCTTCAACAAACCCTTAGCAACAGCATGACCTTTAATGATGGCATAACATTTAAAATTAAGCCTCTCTGCTACTTGTTAATATGCTGCTCTGACCTTTTTCCTATTTCCGTCCTCTCCAGTGCTTTTCCAATTTCCTCTCCCCTCTCAACATTGCTCTCTAATCTCCTCTGTACTTTCTCTTTTGTCCTTTTTACTGATCGCCTGCAGTGATTCAGGGAACGTTGTGTGTTTCACTCTGTGTGTGTGCGCTGTTATTTCATTTAAAGACTAAGATAAGGTAGGGCTGGATGAGTGCTTTGTTTCTGAAATCATTATAAGGAATCATAAGCGCAGAGACTTTTAATCCCACAGTCACAGCTAATCCCACATTAGAGAGAGTGATCTAATCATTTAGCCTTGTTTGTGCCTAATTGACACATTTGTCTTAGCCAAGGAGCACTGAAAGATGTCCAGTACAATACTGATCTTCCTCTGGCATCATTTTAAATATTTGTATGCAGTTTTCCTCTCTTATTTTACCGTTTAAAGTCGGTTAACTTGTTTATATCCACTGATCAGATTCTGCCAGACGGTTCAGGGATTCAAAACAGCAACAGTTGCAAGCTCAATTCTCAACTCATTTCTGCCTGAAGCTTGATTAAAGTAAAAAACAGGAGAAAACAACTTCCTCTGTGAAGGCATCTGCTTGCGTGGATGAGAAGAGTGAACACGTGGAGAACATCTGGGCTTAAGCATCTTCATGTCATACTTGGGAAAACAAGCTGCTTTTTTTAAACCACCAAGTCCAACCAAGCTCAACAATTAGACACTCCCTTGGGAAATTGGGGCTTTGAGAGAGTGTGGATCTACATTAAGCCCTTTACAGCTTGTTTACATGTGACAATCATGTATCATGGCAGGCAGTGTATCACAGCCAAACTCGCTGAGAGGCAACAGCTACGGTGTGATCCAGGCTGAGAGTGGATTAACTGTAATCCTCCATATTTAAGAGGCTTTTACAACAGGAAATTAAGTAACACTTGGGACATAAAATGAAATCAGATGAATTGGCGATCAGTGTGTCTTTCAATTCCAGATACATTTTCAGATAAAGCCGTTAACTGCTGTTAGCCTCACACAGACATAATGCAGTGTCGTGTCGAGTCACAAGCTGGCTTTATGAGCAATACAAACAAAGTGCCTGTATGTAAGTGCAGCATAAGAAAACTGACATACTGTATATACATATACTGTAAATCAAGTGCTTATCAGCCCCAGAGAAGCTAATAAGTGAACAAGCAATGATTGGTTATTCCTTTCTAGCCCTGACCTGGATGAAACCAATTTTCAAGGCTACATATAGTAATTTGTTGCCATGTTCCTTGCATCACCTTATCTCTTACCTTCTCTGCACACTGTTTAGATATTAATTATAGCACCAACCTGCTGGGCTGTGAGTCAAATCTAATTAACTAAAAGTGCTGCTCTGCCAGTGCTTAAGTCGCCCAAGACAGCCCTGCATTGCCCTAATCAATTTCTACTTCGGAGTCAGTTTGGATCAGTTCTTGCTGACAGGGAGAGGAAAACCTTTGCTGCTCTGTGGAAAATGAAGTTGAGAATTGGCAGCCTTCTAGTCAGGACTGTGGATGAACTTCTGCAGGAGCAAGAAGGAAGAAAACCCATCAAGAGGACTGAAGCCTGAAACCCCAGTTTTTGGTTTGGCCCTTGCAAGTAGAAAGTAAAGCAGATTTTGCTATTTTATAATTATAATTAATAAGGAAAGTAAGAATGTTTGGTGCCCCAGTTGGTTTGGTAATAAACACTGTAGTGGGCAAGTGGAGGAGAAACTGTCTCAAACAGAGCTGCAATCTGTTCCAATTGAAATGTACTGGCAAAAAAACGTTAAATTTGCAACTAAAAATTATTTTCCTTGTCTGCTGGTTTGCTGAATATTTTAAATAGCGAGAGAATAGCTATCAACAATCTCTCTGGACCAAAGATGACGTCTCTAAATGTCTTGTTTTGTTCAACCCAAGAATATGAAACCAAAGAAATTCAGTTTCCAATAATATAAAACAAAGAAAAACAGTAAATCCGCACATTTTTTATGAAAAACACGGCTGAAACAATTAATAGATTGTCACAATAGTTGCAATAATTTTCTGTCAATTAATCCACTGTTCATCATGAGCCACATCTTTTTTGATACAACACACATGTGTATGAGTAGAAAACTATTTTTTTTACATGTCAAAGGAAAGTAAATGGATGTTTGTGGTTGTCCAAAGTGACTCCAGACTATTCAGTGTGGAGGGAAAGTTAATTACGTTAAAGGAGTCTGACATTTTTGAGTGTGGACATGGTATTGCTGGCTGCCAGACATTTTTAATGACTGATGGTATTTGGGGTCTATAATTAAAGGGAAAGTTAATAAGTCTCAAGACAAGGCCACCGTCCTCTAACATGCAAACTATTGTCGTTTTAATCAAATGGACAATCCTGTGTATTTGGTTATGTTGGAAGATTCAAGAGTATGAAAAAGCAGTAGTGGGCCCCCTAAAATGGATAAAAAGAGCTAAGAAGAAACTCAGTGACCATCACAAAACCAATCCCTGACATCGGGATTGGGATTGAAATCTGGTCAAATCATGTCTCTCCCAGTCTGTCCTCCTTTAGGCCTCTAAATTCTGTTTAGAGGACGACAACGGAATAAAAAAATTAAAACAGACTTATTTGTTTTCGCATTAAGAAGAACTTCGTGTCTATGCAGCATGGCATCACAGTTTTGTCTACACAGAAGCAGGGTGTTTATTAAAAGGCATTCCTGTGCTTAATCCAGTCCTCAAACGACCATTTGACCCTGATTCCAACACATTTGGCACAGGACTTTGTGTTTGTCTGGATATCACATGGTGCTGTACTTCATCTCATTAACACAATATCTCCAGGGCTAAAAGAGGTTTATGGATAGTGTGAGTCAAACCATCACTCAGACATTCAAATGAGTCTCTTTAAACTTTCCACCCTGGAGTTATTGAAATTTCAAGAGATGCCAAATACACCACTGACTGTCTTTGCTCTTTCTGTCCTCGCCTGTAGGAAATTTCCCAAGTGTTAGGCTATAGCTAGCCTACTGCTCAGATTGAGGCAAAAACAGGAGTTTGCCTACCTGAATCTGGCACATTTGGCCAGGTGCTCCTTGTATCAGTGGCGGAGGCTGAGAGAGGTCCATAGTAAAGAGGGCATCGGTGCAGAAATGTGCTTCCAGTGCAGGCTGCAGATCAGTCTGGATGCTGCAGAATGCGGTGTGCTGCACACGGGTATGCGCACCATCCACCGACAGCAGGGAGGAACTACTCAGTCAACTTTACTCAGATTGTAGCAGATCTTGGTAGAAAAATCGCCCGAACTCCTATAAAAAAGATTAAATCCAAATAAACAGATCAGCTATAAGATAAATGCGTCAGTGATGTTGCCCCCCTTGGACATCGCTTATTCTCTCTGCTCCAGGAGGCATCAATACAGAATAATGTGATTACTGGAGTCCAGGCTGCAGACTGGACGGAGCTCTAATCCAGATTAGACTCGAGAGAGGCCAACAGTTGACAGAGCAACGTTCCTCCCTCTCCTCTCTGCGCTCAGAGTCAAAACACAGTCTGAGCTCAACTCTCCCCCTCTGACACCGCAGTCCTGTAGGCAGACTTATGTAATTGCACGACCTGGAAAATTCAAACGAGCTACCGCTGAAAAGCCTCTTATTTAAAAGCCAGAATCCCTTTTATCATGGGTTATTCTGAGATCTGTAGACCTATATGTGCAAATGGGATTCTATTGTTATTTTCTATTATTTCTTAATTGATCTTCATAATGTTGGGACTTAATTTTTGTTTAGACATGCAACATATATGTGATTTTGGTGATAAATGAAAGGAATAAATTTAGGGTGAGAGAGAGAGTTGAGGAAAGGGAAGACAACAGCTGGATTTTTAGCATGTGCACGGATAATATTGTTGCTTCCTGCTCATTTCAGCCATCAGAGCAGCAGGGAGCAGCCCCAGACACTCACAGGGAGATAATAATAAACTGACCTTGTATGACCTGACATTTAGGCCTAACTGCCGGCTGCACCAAATTTTTGTGGAAAGATTTCTACACTTGGATTTCCAGTAGCATAACAAAAGTTGCTGTTACAAGCAAGTTGATGCTAAAATACAGCAGGATGGTGGTGACTGAAGTGATGTGTGCATGATAGTTGCTAATATTTGATATGTTTTTATTATCAAATGTTTTTAAGATTATTCAAGTTGAATATTTTTCGCCTAATTTCTTTAGTATTAGTCCTCAGACACACACACACACACACAGATAATTTCCACTGTATTCACTTTACATTAGTAACTGGAGCTTTAGTGGAAAGACGTGTTGGCCAACAGAACAGGTGCGTAATAGTTATTACATACATGATTTTAATGATGTAAAGCTAATGTTACTGGCAGGAGTGGGCATCAGTCCAACTCATACAGAATACATTTGGTGTGTGCTGCCTCCTGTTGGCCAAACTGCATACCAAGAAATGTTTCTTGTTATGCAGTTTGGCATAATAAGAAACTCTTGTTCTTACAGAGCACCTGGGTGATTCAATCATCTGGAGGAGAAGGAACTAACTCCTAATTAAGGTAAGCATCCACAGATTGCAAAAAAGAGGCTTTTTACATAGGCCACAGTGTGATTATACTTGCTGATAAAATGTGGAATGAGATTATGAAATTACTTTAGGTGTTTAGTTATCTTGGCAGGTTTTTCTGTGTCTGTAAATCCTTAAATGCTTTGTTAAGAGGCTAAATTCATAAATGACGGTGAACTTGGCAAACAGGTTGAAAATGCTGAAAATGTTTATCATATCTCAGAAGTCATGGGGGGGGGGGGGGGGGAAATGCATTACACTTTAGACATTTCGCCAGGCTGTGAAAATTGCAACTCATTTCCCTCAGGCAGTATAAACATTTTTATTCTTACTAGTAAAAGTAGAATAGTTCCTGGTAACTACAAAATAAGCACTAGCAGCTAAATAATAGGGACTAGGCAAATATACTTACCGTTTTTGAAATATTTACCTTGACTTGTGTTTACTGTGGAAATACCTGTTTATTCAAAATGCTTTTTATTTCTGTGTTTAAAGGTTTTTCACCTATACTGTTCAACTCCTGTTCAATTATTCAAATAAATTATTCTGAGTGAAATCCGAAGTCTGGTCCTTGTCAAGTGTGGACACCTCGCAGTTAAAAGAAACACTTGACAGTGAAAAACCGGCCTGACAGTAGGAAACCGGCCGTGACAAGTGAAGACTCCACAAGAGCCCACCACAAAGAGGGAGAAGACTCCACCTGGGGGCCTGGAAGAAATCAACTACCTGCCGTTCACCTGTCAGTCCAACAGCCAAAAAAGGCAACATGGCCGAGTCCAAGTCACTCGAAGAGCTGAAAACAGAGCGAACTACAGTAAAGAGACTTTTTTCCCGACTCACCAACCATATAACGAGGACCCACATGGAGATGTCTGTGGAGGAGCTGCAAGATAACTTCAAAAGACTCACAGCAGAGGGCGCTAAAGTGATGGATGCAAATGAGGAGCTTGAGGCTGCTTACATTGCACAGGGCAAAGGAACCGAAGCAGAGGGCGCACCTGAGTTAAGCGACCAACAGAGAGCTGACATAGAGAAGACGGAGAAAGAGTGTGAGCAGAAGTTAAAAGAGGTAAAGCACCTTGTCCAGGAGACATTATGGGCCTCATGTGGTGAAAGAGAACTGACCCTTGCTCTAAAAGCTGCAGAGGCAGAGTGCGAGAACGTCTCCTCCACTCAGCCTGACACACCCCTGGAGGCATATGACTTTATGCTCCGCCATTTAGAGAACCTGGTGCACAAAGCCAAAGAAGCGCACCAGACCTGGAACCGCTGGGCTCCACGAGCCGAGAAGCAAGATTGGCAAATGGCAAAAATGCGTTATTAATCCCTAGTAACTAATGGAATACTAAATTAAGAACTAGTATCTAATCAATTGTTACTAGTAAAATGGCTATAGTCACTAGTTACTAGTGACAAATAAGTACTTTCAGTAAATAAGCTTTTAAATAGCGACTAAGTTTTAAGGAATAAATATTATAACGGCCTGCTATAGTATTCAGTGCAGCATTACAGTCATATTACTGTATAGTATTTCAATGTATCTGGAGATTTTATTGAATATTATCTGTGCATACTCTGATCAACAGATAACCTGATCTTCAACAGTTAAAAATTAGCACTCAGTTAAAAGTGAGACCAAAAAGCCAGTGTTAGCAATTTAGCACTGCACTTCCATAAAGTGGGGAAAGAAAGGCCGATTTAAAAAAAACAAAAATCAAAAAAGCAGGGTCAAGCTCCAAAAACACCAGATTGTACAATTCCCATAATGCAACTCAAAAGCATCTTTCGTTAGACATGATCAGGGTTATTTTTTAAGAGCCACAGAAAACATCAGTTATGATGACTAGTTATGTGGCAGTCAGATAAAATTTTGGTGTTGAAAATAAAATTGAAAACCAAGCTGGAATTGAAAAAGAGAACAATGGTACTGAAACATCTGCATTGGATATAAGCTGTACTGGCTCAGTCTGAAACAAGTATTGGCATTGAAAAAGGTTTCACTAACAAACACAGACATCAAAAATTATTTTTGTTTTATTTTTATACATTTTGCATTCTGATGTGTTTTTCAATGACAATTTTTAGATCAGGTCAGTTTTTTTATGCTGTCACTTCACTTTCAACTTTCAGTGTTTTGGTGTGGAGAGGAAGGGCCTGAGGACAAGGAGAGTTATTTACATATAATGTACATATAACAAATGAGACAAATGAGTCACTCTGCCTGAACCAGCCGTCCGCTCCTATAGCCTCTGACATCACAAACCTGAGGCAACAGGTTTCCACTAGCTCACCGGGAAGTCAAACAGCAGTAAGTCTTTTTCTCTCTGCCGTTGTTTTTCCTACACAGGGCTGGTTAAACTCTTATCTGATGTTATGCTGGTCTGGCAGAGGTTTGTTCTTGACTTGGTTTTGTGACTGTGAACAGCAAGAGTAATACTCTCAAAGCTGGTGTTTGAAGAAAATGGCACAATCAAATCAAATCAAAGTTATCAAGGGTGCATTTTAAGCTGTTTTATCTAAAATACATGTAGAAGTTACTCCATGCTCCCTGCTATGTGTACAGTGTTATTATGCTGTATCCACTGTCCCCTATGGCAAAAACGTTTATCACAAATGTCACAGGAGTAGGGTTTTTCTCCCGAAAAACGTTTTATGTGTTTCTTGAGGTGGCCACTGGTGTAAAACTGTGTCCCACATGACCCACACCGGTACGGCCTCTCTCCCGTATGTGTCCTCATGTGCACAATCAGGTGCACTTTCTGGTTAAAGGTTTTCTCACAGTCTTGACATTTAAAGTCTTTCATTCCTGTGTGTAGTCTTGAATGTATCTGTAGACCACGGGGGCTGCTAAACATCTTGCCACACACATCGCAAACAAGTCGCCTGTTGTGAGCCCTTTGCAAATTATTAAGAAGCTCCTTCATAGATTCAATCCTCTTATGTGTTTTTATGTGCTTCATGAAGGAGCGGATGTACTGGAAACCCTTTCCGCATATAGGACAAACACTACGGCCCTTTTCACTTTCAGCAGATGAATCTCCATCAGGTAATACCTCTTGACCCCCCTGCTTCATGCGGCCATTTTGTCTTCGCAAAAATGTTTGTCTCTTTGCCTTCACCTGTGCTCCTTTGCTCTGCACCCACTCCTCATCACTGCCATCGCCCCCACTCTGCGCTGCAGAGCAGTCTGACGAAACAGGCTGGAATTCACAAAACACTTGTGGGTCTGACTGATCTTGCTCACTTTTCACAATTTCTGAAGAAGGCAAAACAATCTCCTGTGTTTGACCGTCACCCCCAAGTTCCTCCTGCTCCCCTTTTATCTTGAAGTCAATCTGAACATAGCAGCAGTTCCCGTCACCGTTTTCTGTATCTGCAGTGGTTTGTGAGGTGCCCGGGACCTCAGTCGTACTCAGGTTAGACTCCTCTTGTTTCAGGGGTTGTGTTGAGGTCTCCTGCAGCACTTCCTCTCCAGTCACACCTGCATTGGTAAGTGGAGCATCTGTAGCTACAAAGTAGAAGTTACTTAATAGGCTACTTTGGATTATAGCTAAAACAATTAGTGAATTAATCCATCAATTGATCAATAGAAAATTATTCTTTAACATTTTAGATCATTGTTGAAGTCATATTTTTATGCACAAATGTATAAAGTTCACTGTTTAACGCACAGTCTCTCAAATATGAAGTGCTGTGTCTTCTAAGTTAAACAGAATATCTTTGGGTTTGGTATTTATGACAAAACAACTTGGTTATCTTTCACTTTTTTTCTGACATTTTACAGACCAATCGATCAACCAATAAAGTAATCAATGAGAACATATTTAGCATTGCAACAACTCTCACTGATTCTGAAACGCTAAGGGAAACTAACTAACGTTAATTTGAATATAGGACGATAGCTGAGTCTGGATTTACATTAGGCCAGGTTCCTGGAGAGGCTGGATGTCGGGTTATTCTTTGAATTAGTAACGTTATGCGCTTTTAAAACTTTTCACATAAGAGAGAGAGTAGAGCTAATTTTACCAAGACCCAAACCTGAAATCTGGTGCAGCTTTTGACTCCTGTCGCCGAGACCTTCTTTCGGTCGCTGAACGACACCGGCTTCGTAGAAAACTGACGTTATGGTTTTCTCCACCTCTCCGAGGATCTCCTCTGCCGCTGCGTACAGCCGCTGGTGGACAAACATCCTAAGCTGAAACATTGTGTTGTCCTCAGTGGACAGAAATGGTGGTGAGAGATTGAATAGAAGAGGACTCAAACAGCCATGCGCAGTGTGGAGGTTACAACGGAAGCAAACCTTCAGTCACGTGACGACCCCAAAGGAGATTCACTGCGTTTCTTTCACTGTTTGTGGAAAATGTAACGTGTTTCTGGGGGTTTCTGTCCATTAATCTATGTGTTCTGTATATTTACAGGTTAGTAGAATGTCAACACCTCATCATTAATCATATTAAAGGCAAAAAACTTATTATATTGAGAATGCACATATCTTCATATTAACATTTCCAAAGAGCCTTAGCCAAAAAAAACCTGTCCACGGCCTCATGGGGGAAAAAAAAATAATTGTTCTCTTTTGGGGGGGTTTAGCTAATTTATCATAAAATGTCATTTCTATCTGCTTATTTTAAATTCTGATTTTTAAAATTGTGTTTCAATTATTCTGCCTTAATATCGGTGAGGAAAATCCACATAATAGGCCTACCATATCTACACCATGTTATAGCATCTTGCTAGCTCCAGCCTTGTAATAACAGATGTATAGCCTAGTAGGCTACTAGTAGTACATCACTTGATGCTGAACATTAGATATTTAGAAAGGGTAAACAGACTACAGTAATGTGATATAACAGTATATTAAACTTTATGTGTGGAAATCTGGTTTCACCATAAGAAGACATTACACAGAACAATGTACAAAAATACATACATAAAATGTGAAAAACAAGAGCTACAGAGGTGGTGCTCAAAGTGAAACTGGTTTTACGAACAGGAATTAGTTAACCGTTTTGATAAATGCCAACATATTCCAGCAGTCTAAGTCATGTAAACAGAAACCTGAAGGGATTTATGAACATACATAAATAACAAATAAAAGGCGCTCCTCCAACTGTTATTCAAAATTAATCTCACTTATAAAAATATATCACAGCCGAACATTCACATCGTCACAGATGGGTATCCAATGTTGTGTCAACACTTACGATGAGTACTGCTGCTGGGTCATCAGTTATGTCACATTTAATCTAAAGATGGACCGATACAGGTGGACAGTGATGTTCTGTCATTTGGCTTACTCTTTACTTGTTGTCTGCATCGCTCCCCTTATCCATATGTTGAGTTTTTGAGCAGGCAGACACCAAATCTCTCCCAATGTGTGGAAGTTTAAAACATGTAAAGTACTCGTGGTCACACACAATACAGATAACATGTAGTGCCCTATAAGGCAATTTTCAATATAACTGAACTCGGATGTTCGGTTAATAATGAATCTCTTAAGATTGTTAATTTCAGTTAAATCTCAAGAACTGTTTGATCAGACCCAACCTCATCACTGTGTTTGAGTGTTCAGTCCAGTTGGAGTAGAACCTGTGTGACTCTCGCGTTAGTTTTGTTGCGCCTGTCAGCCCTGTACACCCACACATGGTGCAGTCAGACCGGAGTTCGTCAAAATAGCGGGCTAACAGCAGCAGTCCACAAAGTTGTATATTATATATATTTTAATTAAACATTTTACTCCATTAATATCTATCACTGTCTTTACATTCACTATAGCTAAGCAGCGGCCCTCCTTAACTGCTTGTATTATTTCACTGTGCAGTTATCAATAGCTGCTGAATAAGAGGTCAATCCCAACCCCTCTCTCAAACTGGCCTTGCAATTTCCCAATCAGATTGAACTCTGCAATAAGTGAAAAAAGCAGGGTCAATTCGTGAAGTCATATAGTTTTGTTGAACTCGTTAAAACGGACAATTTAGCTGTGATTCCTAAACAGAGGTCTGATCAACGACAGCAAACGTCTCTGACCAGTTACCAACACCTGTGTGGGTATCCAGGGCCTTAAATGTGGGACAACTTACAACTTTATGATTCTAATTGGTTCATGAAATGTAATAACCTCAGCAAATTTCCTTGACAGTACTGCCTGGCAACTTCAATCTGCAGATAGAAAAAGGTGACTGGCTAAATCCCAATCTCCTTACTCACGGACTCTGAGGCGCGTTCACTTTCCATTGCCTGAAGGAATTACCCACAGTTCATAGCGTTGTGACGTTAAACACAGGGTTACCAAGGCAAGCCGGCGTTAAAAAAAAAAAAAAATCTAAACAAACATGGAAGGAACAACTAGAATTAAAAAGAAGATTTTTTTGTGTATGTCGTTTTGAACAAGTAAACTGATTATTTGAAAATGACCTCTTGTCCACAGGTCATTTTCAAATTATCAATGTACTCGGCAAGATCGTGGATCGGCCCCTTCATTGTCTCAGCCGTGAAGTAAAAAAGGTCAGCTAAAAAGTCCCAAAGCCACAACTGTTTTCGTGTAGTAAAGGTAATATAATATGTTGAAAAGTGCGGTGCTGTCCCATTATACCGTTTTGTTCCCTTACAGCCTCTAACACTTACCAGGTGACTTCGACTAATGTGTTCAGGTTCAAGGCTTAGGCTTTAGGATGGAGATGGGATTGGGCCTAAATGTTCCCGGTGAGATGACTCAAGTACCTCAGCGTGTACTGATGCCAGTAGCTACCTGACATGTACTAAATCACAACAACAAGTTATGTTATGCTTTCGTTAAAAGGCTGGCAGTAAATTTGGTACATATAAGTTGTAGATAAACTCAAGAATGGCCAACAGGTGAGTTATGCCATGCATGTAAACCTGTCTTGTCCAACTCATGCACCAGCTCCAAGATAGTCTTGTCTGGTTAATGTAATGGTTTTCACTCAGCGGCTGCCTTTTCATGAGTCTGCAGGTGCACCTTAAGATTAGGTGCAAACCTGTATCTCATACCACAAACATGGCAAGCATAGGGCCTCTCTCCTGTATGTGTGGTCCTATGTCTAGTCATCTGTCCACTTTGGCGAAAGCATTTACCACAAATATCACAAGGGTACGGTTTCTCTCCTGAATGGTATCTCATGTGTGTTTTGAGGTGACTGCTAGTGTTAAAAAGTTTTCCACACAGGCCACAATGATATGGTCTCTCCCCCGAATGACTTCTTTTATGAATTGTAAGGTTCTGGCTCTGACTAAATGCTTTCCCGCAAATGTCACAGTGATACGGTTTCTCCCCAGAGTGGGTCCTCACGTGTACAATCAGATGCTCTCTTCTGTAAAATGTTTTGCCACATTCTTGACACATGAACTCTTTTATGCCTGTGTGTATTCTTTCATGCAGCCGGAGACAACGGTTATTGGCAAAAGTCTTGCCACAAACGTCACAAAAATATGTTTTGTTGTGATAACCTTTCAGGTGTGTTACTAACTCCTCTGTGGACTGGTGCATCATCCCACAAACAGTGCAATCACTTTTGTTCTCATGGGTTTTTATGTGCTTCATCAAAGAGCCGATGTACTGAAATCCCTTGCCGCACAAATGGCAAAAACTGCGGCCCTTTTCATTTTTAACAGAACATTTGTCATGAGGCAATGCTGTCTGACACTCCTTATTAATACTGCCACTTTGTACTTGCAATATCTTTCCTTTCTGTTTCATAATTTTGGTATTTTCTCCATTGCTGTTCACCAACTCCTCATCGCTGTCATTGTTGTCGTCATCATCACTCTGAGCTGTAGAGCAGTCTGAAGAAACTGGCTGCATTTCATGTGACACTTGTGTCCCTGGCTGATCTCGCTCGCTTTTCACCATTTCGGGAGACGGAAGGAAAATCTGAGTTTGACTGTCACCCCCAAGTTCCGCCTGCTCTTCTTTTATTTCGGACATCTTGAAGTCCGTCTCAACCAAGCAGTAGTTCCAGTTATTATTGTCCAGACCTGTGCTGGGTTGAGAGGGTCCTGGGACCTCAGCGCTCACACTTGAGTTAGACTCTTCTGGTGTTGAGGGTCCTGATTTCTCCTGCAGCAACAGGGCATCACACTCATCTCCATGTTCCACTGTGTTGCTGGTCAGTGAAGGCTCTTCAGCTGCAAAAGAGATAAGAGTAAAAGTTACCCAACAGCCTGCAATGTTTCCTTTTCAAGTACGTCTGAAAGATACAGACCGTATGGAAAAACTGAAATTTGTATGGGGATTCTCTCCTTCTGGGGGTTTCTGCAAAGTGTTGCTAACGCTGCTTCAAAGCTGTGCTGTATTAAAATATTTCTACAACAGCTGCAGCAGTGCTTGTACGTATACGTGAACAAGCACGGCGCAACATCTATAGCTACTTCTTCAGCTACCACTAACGTATGCGCCTATATATTGAGGTTGGTCTGGCATTGCGAGACCAAAACCCTACGAAACAACACATTTAACCGGAGTCCCGAACCTGGTTTCTTTCGGAGAAGCTCTAGCTGGTGTCGCAGACTTTCAACCTCCTCTTTAGATCGACTAACTTCGGCTTCGTACAAAGCTAACTTAATGGTTTTCTCCACCTCTCCGAGGATCTCCTCTGCCGCTGTGTACAGCCGCTGATGGACAAACGACCTCAGCTGAAACATTGTGGTGTTCATGTCTCAGGAGAGAGTTACGGCACCTACACATCAACGTTAGAAGCTGGATAGCAAAGAGGATAAACTCAGCTAAATATTCACAGCCTGTGAGCCGTTAGCAGCCACAATATTACTTCCGGTTTGAATCGTTCAGAATAAAAGCGCCTATTACATATAGAGATGGGGGGGACACATTGCAGACACATAAACGACATTAAACTAAAGTAATTTAAAACAGAATTAAACTAAAACTAGGACTGTAGCACAATTATTATCACTGGTAGTGCAAGTTAACAATAATGCAACACAAACTGCTTTTTTGTTGTTGTATTTTTGCATCTAAAAGTGCAAGAGAATAATTAACGTTGGTTGAGAAGGTACTTTGAATAAGTGCATCAGAACAGTTCCTCTAACTTGTACTTTATCCTGTCTTTAAATTAAAGTGAAATGGAAACTGTTAAAACAGCAAACGAATGAATTGTGAGATCGACTCTGATAGGCACAGAAATAAATTGAATAAGAAAAAGTAAAATTGACAATACTTCACTAATATTAATTTTGCGCTTCAATTTCACAATGCAATCATTGTTTAATAATTAAAATATGGCATACCAAAATGTATTTATGAATTGGTAAATGTAATCATTTTATTTACCCTATTAATTAATTAATAATATAAATAACAATGCAATTATTTGACGTATAATGTCCTGTTAAAATCAGAATCAGAATTGGGTTTATTGCCAGGTACATTTTCAAATATGAGGAATTTGCCTTGGTATGAATTGGTGCTTACAATACACATAACATAAATAGTAATATAAATATATAAAAAGTAAGGAGATCAAAACATGTTTTTTACAAGTATACAAAAAATATAAAAAGATACAATAATACTATAATAAAATGCTGACAAGTATGTGCAAAAGTTGGCAACGTTGCAACACCTGTAGGCGGACTCATCCCCACCAGAGATGAGCCCAATGAGGGTGGTGTCATCCGCAAACTTCAGGAGCTTGACAGACTTGTGACTGGAGGTGCAGCTGTTGGTGTACAGGGAGAAGAGCAGAGGGGAAAGAACGCAGCCCTGAGGGGAACCGGTGCTGAGGGTCCTGGAGTCAGAGAGATGTTTTCCCAGCTTAACGTGCTGCTTCCTGTCCGTCGAATGTACACATTTATCAATTGATTGTGATTAAAACACTGTTAAAGTATGATTGAGGGGCACAACCATAGCCTGTATATGAAAAGGGCACAACTACACCCTGGCACACTTCATAGTTTTGTGGTTTTATTTTGAAGGCCATGAGCTCAAGCCGGAAGTGTTCTTGCCAGCAGCCAGCAAATTTTTGCTTCTCCAGACAACTAACTGCGGCTGCGCAGGAAGCAAAACACACACTCACACTAACCTGAAAGCGGTGCAATGTCTTTTTGTAGTTTCTTCGGTGGAGAGGTCTATAAAGACCATTTTAAAACAGGTAACTGCATGACTTACTCATAACTTATTTTACTTTATTTCAAATGTTTGCATAACGGGTGCTGTTTAGCGACTACTTAGTAAAAGTAGATTTAATGATAACTAGCTAGCCACTGTTAGCTAACTATTAATTGTAACGCTGAATAACGTTTACGTTACACACAGATGTGGAGATCGGACTAAACGATCCGCTCCTAACCCTGTAGGCTTTAGATACTAAAAAAAACTTTTACGAGGGCTTGACACTGTACACATGGTCACAGAAAACATGGAATTACTGAGAGAATTTATTAGATAACGAAAGTAAGTTAACTTGTGTAACCTATGTTCAGGTTATGCAACAACTCTGTTACAAAACGGGATGATGTATAACTAATGAGAAGTTAAACTTATGCCTACGAAATACACCATAAAACAAATACAAATGAATCATTGTCTATAAAGATAGTTATTTAAAACATAAAATTGTATATATGAGATATTTCTATATATTTTCTGTTTGTTGGTACTAACGTGATGGCGATTTTTAAATAAGGTTTGTATTATAATAGTTTTATCTCATGTTGCACCAACCATCTTCTCCTATCCTTAACTCCTCAGGGATTTATGTTTGTTCCAAGTGTGATCACCAGCTGTTCACCAGCCGCTCCAAGTATGAGCACTCATCTCCCTGGCCAGCCTTCACAGAGACCATCCAAAAGGACAGTGTGACCAAACATGAGGAGAGACCTGGGGCATATAAGGTACAGTCGGTAGAAAAGAGATTCACTTTGTTTATTGAATCTGTCAGAGGACGCTAACACACAATGTCATACCTGTATAAATAACACAAACGTTCCAGCTGTAGGTAAAAAACTTAGGCCTATAACTCTTAATAGACTAGTAAAGGATTTGTTTAGTGCTGACTCTGTGTGATGTGGTGTTTTAGGTGCGGTGTGGGAAATGTGGAAATGGACTAGGCCATGAGTTTGTAAACGATGGGCCAGCCAAAGGGCTATCTCGCTTCTGAATATTCAGCAGCTCACTGAAGTTCATCCCTAAAGGTATGATAGTAGGATGATATCACAACACCGGCGTGCAGCCACTGTTTCTGCCCTATTACATAGGCTTTGTGTTATGTTTGCTCTAGTTATGCGCACGTACCAATATTACAGCAGATACTGTACAGAGCTAAACTGACAAAAAACACACCCAGAAAAAAACAAAATAATTCTCACATATTGCATATACATTTTTTGCATTGGCTGTAATGTACGAGCTGTGAAAAGGCTCTTCTCTCACACAGCCCCACAACTCTCCGTCTCTCCCCTCTCCACAGATGAGGTTGATGGACAGTAAAGTGAGCACTCAGATGGAAGTGCTGCTGGACTGTTAGACTCTGTGCTGCTGAAGGTGTAGACAGTGAATGAAGTGTTCTGGGACAAAGCCCAGTCTGGGACCACCAGGGCTCTGATGATCGATGGCCTCACTGGACAGCAAGAACAGAGGACTGGTCTCAACAGCCTTTTTTATTATGCAATCACATCACACTCTATTTAGGATAACGTCACTGGTAACACAGTCACTTGCTGTGTTCCATTTACCTCGGAGGTCGGAGCTGAGAATGACGTCACACCCGAGTTGACGGCATTCCAGTAACAAGTCAGAAAACATCACTCCTCCAGCTGTTGTTTTTCAACTAGCCAGGTTAGCTATTGATACGCTGGTTGATTTAAAAAAAAAACAACAACCCACATTGTATTTGTATTTACTCACACTAAACACTGTAGCAACACGACCACAGACAGCTGGACAGCACTTTGTGTACGAACATTTATATGAGACACAAGTACACAGAAGTGCTAATAAACAGTATAAACTAAAACTTTCACTAACTGTTGATACCCACGACAGCCATCTTGGATCACAAAGTCGGGGTAGTGCGGTTCTCCCGACTTCCCAAGTTGGAAATCCGACTTAAGGGGGCGTTTCTTTTGAAATTTTGAACTTTGATTTCGGAAGTTCCGACTTCCCATGTCAAATGGAACGCACCAACTGTCTTACCAGCTTTTTACATTCATTGAGATTTTAAGATTTATTTATAATTGAGATTGTCTAATGTTTATGGACCTTCAGAGTGTTACCTGTAGTTCCTCTGCGCTCTGTAAACTGTGAAAGTAAACTAATATACCAGTCTGTAATAGCTTATAAAACTGTAAGTCTAAGACTAGATGAACTTTTCCAAAGATCACTCATGATATTTTCAAAATGTATTCATTATTCATCGATGGTGGCCTTTGGCTGCAGTTTTTTTATGCCAGATGCAATACAATAAATTCTATTTTCACTCTTGAGAGGCTTTATGTAAATGGTTCACAATAACCAATATGAAAGTAACTTAAATAAATATATTTAAAATTAAAATAAGACAATGCTTGAATTATTTGTTGATGTCTGTATTCTTGTCGTCAAATATTGATGTTAAGTTTTTCCCTTTTTATATATGAACAAATGAAATACTACAGAGTCAGTAATGAGACAAGAAGGACATATGGAGGAGCCTGTTGTAATGGACTGAACCAGACTTCCAGGTTTAGTCACATGCCTCCAAAAACCAGTTTGAGAAGGTATTGTCCTCTTTAGACAAGTATGTGATATGAATCTCTTCCCGATTTCAAGGTAAAACCCACTTCTTCTCTGGTCACCTGTTTTCTTGACCCATGTCAGCTTCATTATATAATTATTACTATTATATTTACATAGTAATTGATCACATCATATTTCTAAAGTTTTAAACAGCACACTGACTAAACAGTCTACATTGACATTTCTGCCATCAAGTGGCAGACTAAACACAAGGAGGGCAGTTGACACATTTCTCCCATGGAGAATAATACAAAAAGTTCAAGTGGACACGAGATATTTTACAATATGTCAAAATTCGAGCAGTCTTCTCCTTGGCCAGCCTTCTCAGACACAGTTCGTGAGGACAGTGTCTCCAAACACCCTGAAACCTGGGGACCCATAAAGGGATAACCTCTACAAAAGTAGCACAGCTGATGTTTGTTATGATAAACTGGGACACATCAACCTGGACTAAATGGTCTTTCTGGGAACATTGTACCTGTTGTTAATCATGTGATGTATAGATTTTGAGTTTTGATTTGAACCACTTTTTTAAACCATGAGCATAGAGACACACACAAATACCATTGCATGAAAATACTGTAACATCTAACATCCCTTCCTGGCAAAGATGTTTCACAGCTATGAGTTAAAGTGTCACTAGGATAGTCAGTCAGTTTTGCCCATTGTCTGCATGCCTGGGTGCAAATTAACCTCCAGCTCTATTATAATGAGTTCAACACACCGAAGTTCACCAAAACTGTAATTGCATGCTTTCATCAGCTGATGGTGCTATGTGCCTTTATACATCTTTGATGAACTGCATTTATAACTAATGCATTACTGTGGACATAGTTTGTTCTCTGCACAAAAAGAGAGAGATTAACATTGCAAAATATGCTTATAAACGTTATTGGTGAGACTAGAGTGAATAGAGAAGAATATCCTAACAGTGCTCCATATCTTCAGAGCAAAAAAGTCATTCCATATGGACAGCAACAACAATTCCTACAGTAGGCTACTTCATAGTTACTTTTTACTGATGCGCTGATCAATTCAATTTTATTTGAGTAATTATAGAGGATTCCTAAATGCTGCTTGCAAAAATAATTTTTGTTTCACAAATAAAAATGCTTTTATCACAAACACATAGTTTGTTGATTAAGTTTAGTTGACATTTAGCTCAAATCTACTGATTAAAAGCTGAAACTATCTGAATTGGGTCACGGCAGGGCCTGTTTTAGGAAGTAGATCCTGGAGTTATCTGGGTAACTTTGCTGAGTAAATCTCAGTCCATGTTCCAAACCAGAGAGGGTTTTGTGTTTTTTCTACACGGCAAGTGGAATTATAAACAAAGCGAGGATGTAGGGGTACGTTCAGCAGCTCTTGTGCTGTTTAAATGTCTGGGGGGACAAGCAGGTGTGGAGCTGCTTTAAGATCAGAGGTGAGGAGATGAAAGCTCCGGCGTCAGGCAGAGGATTAAGACAGGAAGAGCAAACATTCATAGATTGTAATGATGTGTTGCAGTAAAGCATTTTTAAGCACCGTTTTGTGCATTTGAGGTGAAGTGAGTTCACTTCTGAGGGAGCAGCTGCTTTGTCCCTTGTATTTAAAGGATTTAAAGAGTATTGTTTTAAAATTTCAGTATTTTGCCTAAAGCCTCTGACTTTAAGTTGGAAGGCTAAACTTGTCCTCCTCTGTTTAAATCCAAATCCCACCTCAAACTCTTCATTAATTGAGTAATACCTTCCTTCTGACTGATTAGATGTCTTTGTTGTAGAGTATCTGTTGTGTCACCACTCACAGCTGGCACACAGACTAAACTATCCTCGGGGTTGACGTCTGGAAGAGGAAGAGTTAGAAAGAGACCAAAATACAAAGATAAACCACAATGAGATGAGATGTTAGAATGAGAGACGGAGAGGAAAAAGCAAATTGGCCCAAAAACGGGTCTGTAATTAGCATTTGCTATCTGTGAGAATTTTTTTTGGCTGGCATCTGAGCACAGCTGTATGGCCAAGAGGAAGCAAACAGGAAGGAGGAAGTGGTAATCCTCTGATAGAATCACGAGACAGACTCAAATCCACTGACCTCTGCCTCTCATCCTGCTGGTAAACAAACGAGATCCTTGATTACAATAAACCACCGCTACTCCAAAGCCTTCCCCAGTCCCCAAGGCCGAGCCTGGGGGTAGAACTACAACTTAAAAACATGTGTGCACCGCTGACTCATTCGCAGGACATCTTGTTTTAATTGTAACATATACTGTATATGAGCCTGTTGCTTGGATGTGGATGTTTACGTGCGCTGCACCTGCTTCTGTTTTGAGCCACGGAGAAAGAAAAGTGTCTCATCCTGCGTCCACACGCCAGGACATTATATCCAGTTCATCAAGGTAATATTCCCCAAAAGCATCTGTCATCCGGTGGCCCTGCTTCACACACTACAGAAGCTGTGAGCACTTTGTGGGAGGAATAAAGCTCCCGAATGCGTGACTGTAAGAGAAATAGAGAAAGCTCCTTTCATCAGGGAGTAATATCTGCAGTATGCGCGTTTCCCCACAATATGTGATGTCTTCATCCATACATGGTGGGGCTGCCCTCCACATGTCATAGACACACATATGCTGGCCAAACATCTACCCCTGCATAATGAGTGAAAGGCTAAAACAAAGCTTTTATACATGACACTGGAATGTGATTTCTACCCTGGATCAAAGGAAAGTGCTGGAAACTCAAGCCGTTCCAGGTTGGACATTGTTGTAATTGTGTCAGGACAACATGTGTTTGAAAGAGACGACGGGGCTTACAGAAATCAAAATGAGAATACTTTTGCTCGTCCCCTCCAAAAGGCTCCGCAGTGAACCATAATGTGAAATGATTTGTAGTTTATTGAGCATATAAACATACACTCGCCATATTTGTGTTGCGTGGGTGTATGAAATGCATATCTTGACGGGCCATATTTGTTGTAAATACTGTAAATGTGAAATGCGGAATAATAAAAACACAATTACATTAAGGGAGGACGCGACGAAGAACCTCAATTTTCTGCTCGTTCCAGCAAAATGTCAACAGTTACCACATGTGAGGGATCGTTTCACAGGATGCAAACTTGCCCTGCAGAGCAGCATGTAAAAACCCAAGTATCAGGGCTCCCAGTGAGAAAATAAACAGAAATTTCAAAGATTATCTTCAATGGCTTCTGCTGCTTTATTGTCACTTTTATCACATGATCACATTCCTGTTTCTGAGCTCCACCAGCTTCAGTAACACAGAGGGGGTTTTGAACATATGTGTATTGGCAAACATCACTTGCTATCTGCACTCTGATCTGTTTCAGGGAGAAAAGACCCAGAGACAGCAGCACGGGTTGGTCTGAAAGCTTCAAAGGGAATACTTGAGGTGTGTGGCACTGGTATTGTTCCCGCAGATCAGGGAGAGGGGTTCTCATTTTTGTGGGATGCAGGGCTGACTTTGGGATAGGAAGGGAGGTTTAAAACAGGAGAATAAGACTGACTGATTGTGTGCCCACATGTCAACTTTTATCCTATACCTTGATCAGAGACTATGGTGATTTGAAAGACCTCAAAGGTTCATGGGCTCAGCAATCCGGAAAGAAACTGTGAATAAGCTGTGTGCATACTGTCAAACAACTCTTCTCTTCTACTTTGTGTTTGCTGTATGACTTTCAGAGTGAGGGGCTGGTAAAAATTATCAAATGTAGCCTCAGACAAAAGTGTGCCAGAGGCAAGGAAACATTTATCAAAAGATCCGTCTTCAGAGTATGGAAATATCAGGATGGTTTTGGATTTCAGCTGAATGATTTAAAAGGAGGCCTCTGCACACAGATAGTCAAAGCAGTGATGGACTGTGGAAAATGCTGTATTTGTGTCAGCGCTTGTCCAGAAATGTCAGAGGCCTTTGACGCCTGGAGAGGTTTATGGCACGCTGAAAACATCTTTGCGCAGACAGAGACTGAACACTACAGAGAAGAAGAAAGTAATTACCTCAGTCTTTCCCTGGGTACAGTGCCACAGACTGTCTCCCCCCACCCTCCGCCCAACCCAACCTCCACCCGCCCCCCCACACACAGCTAACCCCAGCTCCCAGCAATTTGCGGCTGCTCATCCTCTGTCGTCTTGGTTAGTAAT